CTCAGCCATGCAGCCACTCACTCACTTCCCCTTCCCCCTTTCTCCCTTCTGCTCCCAAAGGGATGGGGAGCAGAATCGAAATAATGTAACTCCCACGGTTTGAGATAAGAACAGTCCGGTAATTAAGGTATAACACAAACCGCTACTGCTACCACCAATAATAATGATGATAAGGGAAGAGAATACAACTGCTCACCACCTGCCGACCGATGCCCAGCCTGACCTGAGCAGTGATCTAACCCTTCCGGGTAACTGCCCCCAGTTTATATACTGGGCATGACGTGCTGTGGTATGGAATTACCCCTTTGGCTAGTTTGGGTCAGGTGTCCTGTCTCTGCTTCCTCCTGGCTTCCCCTCCTCCCTGGCAGAGCATGAGACTCAGAAAGTCCTTGGTCGGAGTAAACATTACTGAGCAGCAAATAAAAACATCAGTGTTATCAGTACTGTTCCCAGGCTGAAAGTCAAAAACACAGCACTGCACCAGCTACTAAGAAAGAGAAAAATGACTGCTGCGGCTGAATCCAGGACAGTAATACATGCCTTTTCTTGCTGAATATGAAGTCTGTGCATTCATAGCTGACTTGAATGACTTTCATCTTTTCCTGCTATCTAAAAGCCCCAGCTTTGTACAGAGTAGTCACTGTAGTCTATGTTGTAGCTTTTGGACTGGATCCATCATGTGCAATATTTCCATCTAGTCTATAGTTTTGTTTTGTTTTCTGGAGGAGGAAAACCAACTGTTTTAGTAGTGGGTGCTTTCTACAGATGGAAAATATTCTGCAGGGGACAGCTGGGCAGAGCAATGGCTGCTGCTGTGTCTGGGTGCATCTAGGGGTGCCACTTCCCGCTGCTGCAAAGATAGCCTGACATCATCCTTACCCTGTATGTGGCTGGTAGGAGCATCAGACGAGCTCTCTGTGGTGAGTTAAAATGGTGCTCTTACTGCTGAAAGAGGAGAAAAGGATGTTGCTTTGTGACTCAGTGTAGACCACCTGCTGTGTGCATTGTATGGAGAAAAACGATAAACAGAATAGATATTAGGTTGCTGCATGTAAATTGGATGACGTGGGCATGGAAAACATCAATAATCCAAACATCTTGTCTTTTTAAGGCTGTGAAGATGATCCAGCTGCAATGCTCAAGTATGTTCTTAACACTGTTTGAAAAGTTGAAGTGGGAAGTTTTAAGACATGGAGACGTAGCAACTTTCTTAACACAGTTAATGGAAAAATATTAAGGGAAACAAATAAGGCAGTGTGGACAGGTCTTGGGAGGTTAAGAGGGAAGGTAGTGGAGGGCTGGCAAAATTGCAGCGGTGTCTACTTTGTAGACATTGTTCCTTTAGGAAGCAGATCAACCCTGGATAGTTCTGTTTATTTTTGATAGTGTGCTTTCTTGTGTGTTTTGTGGCTATGCAGTGGTTTGGAGGAGGAAGAACTCATAATTTGGTTTATGGATCAGATAATCTTCATTTTGAACTCACCTCCTGGTCTAGTTCACTACAGCAAAGAGTATGTTGTTTGTGTTGGGGATCAGTACTTCCCCAGGTACTGCTGGTTAAATTAGAACCTGCGTCTCCATAATATCATGATTAGTAGTGGAATGGATGTGTTAAGACTAGGAATGAGTCTGTGTTGGCAGTGTTGCAGAAGACTTACTTGTCAGACAACAGCTTTGATTTCTTAATTTAATATCCATGAAAAAAGAAGTACAGATCAAGCTGATTCAACAGTTGGAAGCACTGGTTCCCTAAGAGTGATGTGTGTATAGGTGTTACAATGTCAATTTGTTTTTTCATAGGCACACAAATTTTTTTGTGCATGAGTGCTAGATTAAAGGTACTTGAAACCTTTAAAATGGAGAGATATTCAGTGGTCTGTTTCTTGGCATTTCATTTAGGTCAGGGCACTGAAAAAACACCTGCTACCATTCTTGACTGCAGTCTTTCTGAGAACTGGGGGGCTTAAAGGATTCTGGTGAATATCCTTAAATGTTTACAGTAATGCATCTTCATTTTGTTATAATGAGCATAGCAAGATACATTTCTCTTGTTTTCAATATTCTACATAGAAACAGTATTCCATAGGTTACTGAAACTACTGTAGAAATGCTATTGGTTTGATTAGGGCCAAATTAGTTTTTTTGATCTTTCACTAGAGATTTTAGGTAGGTGTGGATATTGAAATAACTTTTTGCCTGCCTTAAAATCAGGTATGACTGGTACTTTTGTGTTCTGAAAATCTGAGTATCAGATCTTAGTCTGATGAGGGTTATTGTTTGAATTGAATTTACTGATAACCTGAAATCATTGTTATTTCAGAAATCCCTTTAGTTACATAGTTACTAGTTATTACATACTTGGTTATTAGTGTACCGTTGGTTATCTAAATCTGTTTTTAGGTTTGAGCATGGCAGCAGTTGTAAGCAATATAATTTGATGTCCGTTGGGACTGTACATGAGAAACTTGTTGTATAGGAGCATATGGTAAGGTACCACCTCTGGAAATCTACCTTCTCAATTAGAAGTACGATTTCTTGCAAAACACAACTTACCATTTCAAGTTAAATTTATTATTTCATCTCCACAGGGTAACTTCAGATTTGCTGTAAGTATTCCAAGCTGCTTTTCCAAATTGTTTTGCGAGACCCAAGTTTTTATTGCTTGAAAATTTTTAGTGTTGTTTTAAAATGCTGTCATTAATTTGTTGTTGTGAAATGGCTTGACAACAGTAGTTCAGATATCTTCAGTTTGAAAATTCAACACATTCTGCATCTTTCAGTACACAAAGAGAAAGTTCAGACTTTAATTATATTGCGCCAAGCATGAGTTTACTTCAGAGAATTTTGGGCTCCATATAAAGGCATGCAGAGCAAATGATAGTTGTTCAGGTTATCAGCCAAATACACAAACTAGACCTCTCAATCAAGAGGGGTTTTGTGCTAATAACACTTCCAAATGTCTTTATATTATTGTTGTTTTATGAGATTTTTTAATGTGTTTGAGCATCGAGAAGCCAATTCCTTGTTGGTTTGAACTGGTGTGAATGGGGTGACTTGAATTTAGCTATTAGTTTACATCAAAGGATGAGCTCTGAACACATAGTCCTATTTGTATTTCTTTAAGCAGTAGGATCATAGCAGAGGCTCATAACTTCTAAAATGGTAAATTGTTTTCCTTTTGTTCTCAAACACTTTGGACTACTAATGAAAAAATACCGTTTGCTGGCTATTCTGGATATACAGTGTGTTAATGGAAATCAGTTTCTGCTTCTATAAATAGACTTTGTCAGCTGCTGCAGAGGAAAACTGACAAGCTTCTGGTCATTTTCATTATTGCCATTCAGAAATTGTTTGAATAGCTGTGAAACTGTCCAGTAGTGTGTATGCCTGCTGCAGTGGTATTTGCAGACTGAGCTGGGGCTATGAGTAGGGACAGGGAAAGAATGAATGCATTTATAAATGCATTTAGAAGTGTGAGAGTAGAGGCAACAGCTTTGTATTCCTTCATTTGGGAGTCCTTAGGCTGAGTTTGAAGCTCTTTATATAAAGACATGCTATTCAGCTGGCTAAAAGTCATGAGTTGTTAAATGAGGTCTGGGTATAGTATTTATCTAACTTCTTTACTGCTGGATATAAGGTAGCCTTTACAAGCATGGTCTGTTGGGGATTATCATACTCTGCCCTGGGAAGCAGTCTCTTAAAATTTTTGCTTCCTTCTGCTGCTGGGTCTGGTTTTGTCTGCGGTATGGGAAGGAAACAGCCAGGCAGGAATGCTTCCCATCTACAGCATTCCTTCCCTCCTGCACAATCGTGGGAGCTCTCGTATGGCTGAACAGCAGCTGCTGTCTTCCTTTCTAGAAGCAGACTAGGAAGTGGTACTAGTATGGCCTGTAAGAAGAAGGAATCCGAACAGGCCAGCCAGATTACCAGTGTTGTTTGTGGGCACAGGAGAGGTTGCCAGGAAAGAAAAAGTATTGAATATCATATTTATTGAATAGCATTTAATTGTCCAGTGTCTGTGTTTACATGTGTGGTTGTTAGTTGTTTTTTGGGTGACTTCCACCCCCATCCTTGAAGAGTCTTACTACAGGGTCTTGGGAAATAGCCACCTAAAAGTGAAAATTCATGTATTCCAAAGCTTTGGAAATGTAAAAGTTTCTTAGCATCTTAATCATATGTTGTATCCATGCTTTAATTTGTATTCTTTGTACTGAATTAGATCTTAGTGATGTGAACTTCTACTCAAGGGAGAAGCGCATAACCCTGACAACTCTTAATGTATTATTTGTAATGTTGTTTGAAATGTATTTGTGTTTTTAAACTTCTGCTGGATGTCTTCTGGCTTGATAACTTTAATATTTTTAGGTGCTCTGCTACTAGAAAAATGAATCGTATTAATTCTTTATAGAAGAAAATACTGACAGTGTGAAGAAGCACATCTTTAAAAAGAAAACAGACTTGTTCTCCTTGAAAACTGTTCCTCTCAAATTTTATTCACCTACCATTTTAAGGGAGTAATTGTAGTTCATTCACTGTGAGCAACCATTTGTGGCGATAATGAAGTCTAAATAATTGGAAAAGATGAGGAATATGGTATTTGGCAGATCCGTAGAGGCTGTTACGAGATCTAATTGAAGTACAACGTTTAGAAGAACTAAGCAGTTCTAAAAAATACAGAGCTTAAAAGAACTAAATTATAGGTATCTCTGAACGCTTTTAAAGTTTATTGCTAAAATACAGTATAAAATTGCACTTTGATGAAAAGATGAGTGTATTGTATCATACTATATTTGAGCTTGTATAAAATATAGAAACTCTTAATACAAATATCTTAATACAAAGTATCTTTTGTGGCATGAATGGAAAGGAGGAAAAATTGTAACTTTGATGTAGAATTAGTTTGACTTGTATAAGTCTTTGTTCTTTTAAAGACAGAGAAAAGGGATTCATTCGAAAAATCTTTGTGTGAGAGACTTTAAACCTTTTATTTCTGCTTTTAGTCAGCAGATAAGCAGCGAGCCCTGGAAGAAACCAAAGCCTACACAACCCAGTCTTTAGCAAGCGTAGCCTACCTGATCAACACTTTGGCCAACAATGTTCTCCAGATGCTGGATATCCAGGCATCCCAACTTCGACGCATGGAATCTTCAATCAACCATATTTCACAAGTGAGACTTTTTTCCTGATTCCGCTTCTTTGTTATTGAAATTAAATAGCAAGTAAAACTCACCTGACATTTTGTGAATGAGGAAGATAATCACATTTAAAACAGAAGGATGCATTTCTTAATATATTAATTCTGGGAATGGGTCTCATTATGTGATTATATATATGTGTTAGTGTGAAAATTTTACATAGGATAAGAGGTTAAGTATATTCTTGGCCAATGTATTGTTTGGAGGGGGGCCATTCTGCATAAGTGAAAAGCGCATTAAAATAGCTAATGTGAAAAATAAGAATATTATGTTAAGGGACTGATTAAGCTTTCCAGCTCCTGTTTGGTGACTTACTGTACTTGGTATTTATTGGCTACAGGCACTTACAGTTAAAAGAAAGGAATATGAATGCGGTGGTGAAAAACAATACTTGTCATCTTTTAACTTTTCCTGTTTCTGTAGTACTGGCATCTAATGACAAAAACATAGATGACAAAAGCAGTTTGCTCCTGGCTTTTCTAAATAAAATGTACTTTGCAATGACATGAACAGAAGGCAAAACTAATGTTTCAAATTTGTGTATGGTTGCAGAACGCATGCCTTTGTTGGCTGTTTCAGGGCAATATAAATTGATGGATTAAAAGAGAAATTAAGAGCAAATGATCCAGTAGTTTCTGTTTCTCTGTTACTGGGGAGTTGGTTGGCATCCTTACTGAATGTTTTGTATCTTATTTGGCCAACACATTTTAGCTGCTAGAGTTTCTTGATCTCTATGTGATAATGTCATCAATTAAAATAAAGAATATTGTGGTATTTGGAAAGGCGTTTGAAAGTAGTAGCTGTGTAAGGTAAGAAATAAACAAACTGAGCTGATATATTAACTTGCTGGTGCCTAAAGGTTTGCCAAACTAGTAGAGGTTTGAATCAGCAAAAGAAGTGAATAATTTTATGCTGGGCTGTAGTAGTACCCTGTTAGATTGCCTCAGTTATCTCGTGCAGTTTCATCCTTAAAAAGTAAGCTGAGAAGTTTGATTTCTTCTGCTACATGCTTCTTTTTAATTCATGGACAAGTCAATTAGTTTTTTCTTTTTTCTCAGAAAATGTCACAAATTACTCTGTGTGTATATGTATATGTGCTATATATATATGCTGTGTATGTGTGCATATAACTCTGTGTGTGTATATATGCTATATGTGTATGTGTTTCTTGAGAGGATAGTGACAGCTGACAAGTATTTCAGCTCTTTGAGAGCGTGATGCAAAAGACAGTACATGAGTAAAAATATTCGGTATTGTCTGAATTTCGCATTTTATAGATGTGGAAAGTTCATTTTGTCACACAGAGTCTGTAAAATAGCTTTGCAAAAAAGTCACAGCACTTTAGTTTTATTCTGAGAAGCTGAGATTTATGCAGAATGAGATGCTGGTTAGATTGTCTTTTGCATTTATATAAATGGCTAGTTAGTTAAAATTGAGAACTGCGTTACAATCACCCAACATCTAATGAAGATGTATCTGCCAAAATTCATAGGCTGTAGTTGCATAACAACAAAAAAAGTAGTAGGTGTTTTGTTTTGGTTTTTTGTTGTGGTTTTGTTTTTTTTTTAATTAATATCACTGTAAAATTGAAAATTAGGTTAGTTTTGATTTGGGTTTGTGTGTTGTTTTTTTTTTGGGGGGGGGTGTCTACATTATCCATATATAGGATGCTCCCCAAATCTTCAAAGAAGAAATTGTATCAGAGGAGCAGACAGTATTGAACTTTGGATATTACAATACATAGAGTGTGTTGATCAAAGAAGCTTTGTTAAGTTGAATTTAATATGTTCAGAAATGGCTTCATCCCATGATACCGATGTTGTATTAGCTGTCTTTAATTTCTTTTAATTTATTTTGTCATAGTTTCTATGTAATAAATAATACATTTTCAGGAAATTTAGTTATACTTCTTCTGGAACAAGTTTAACCTGCGCAAGACTTCCTTGGTCGTTTTTATGTTGGGTGTAAAGTTTACTGGGCTGTTTCTAGTACCACTTAAAATGTCTCATGATAGAATACCTCAGTGCCAAATTATGATTTCAGTCTGTCTGACTTGAAATGGTGTCAGTAATGTAGAACAGAAAACAGGTTGCTAATTCCCATCTGCTCGCAGTGTGTTACTGCATTAATGCTTTGGGCAGTAGCTGTTGATGCTTAAGTTTAGAAAACACTAATACAAATTGTGGTATCTGGACATGTAATCCTGCTTTTAATTTGATTTTCAATTCCATATATTCTCCAAAGAAGGGAGCAAAATAATTTGGCTCTTAGTAAGAAAACTTTTTTTAAAATGCTTATTTTGTTCAAGAGTAGCTCAAACTGGAAGAGATGTGATTAACTTGATAAGATAAATTATTCTAGCTCTCTGTTCATTGATAGAATGCCAATTTATGTCACTTTCTATGTTTCCTTCTGAATACCAACTTAATCAAAGAACTGAAAAGGAAGCTGATACTCATTTGTGGTTTTTCAGATCATATATAGGTCCTGAATAAGGAAATTGTTACTATTGAATCTATTTTTATGCAAGTGGTTAAATCCTATTGGTTTAAATTCTAAGATTACTTTTATTTGGTCTGAAAGCTAATGAATCTATTCTCATTTGCCTTTTTGAACCTTGTCCAGAACTAGATGATATGCAGTGTTTCATATTTGTCTGAAAATTTAAATCCTAAATACAGATAATCTACATAAATATTTGTATTTACTAAAAAACCCCTGTGTTACAGTTTTCAAGTTAGCAGACACTGAAAAGTTCATAACATCCAAATTCTTTAAATTAATCTGGCAGATTTTCAGGTTTTAATATTTGTATGATGAGAAGTAGTTTTCTCAGGTTTAGTTATAGAATACTCTGTAGTTAGCAAGGTAATCTTTAAAACTGTTCTCTGCTGCTAATTATGTAAACAAGCATGCTATCACAAAGATGAATGACAGCAATGAGTTATCTCCAGTGGCACTGCAGAATCTGACTCCCATGACATTGGGTGTGGGAACAGGTATTGAATAGAGCAGAGACTTGACCTGCTGTATAGTCAGCAAGTGCTACTTAGCTGAACTGTAGCAACATGTGTGAGCTGGTTGGTCTCTGAAGGGAAGGTGGCTTGGACCTTCCATTGGTAAGTCAGTAAAGCCTTGTAACCATTTTCAATTCTTAGTCCTGCAAGTTACAAGAATAGCCAAACTCTTAAAAAAATGGTAATGTAAGTCTCATTTTCCACAGTATGCATTACCTGTTTATGGAGCCAGTAGGTTTTCAGCATTTTTTTATCATTATACCCTCTTTCTTTGAGTATAAATTGCATACAACTTTAGGCAATTAAAGTAACATTTCTGATTGTCAAAATCAGACACTCTTTTTCAAGTAATAATCCAGTTTTCAAGGTAATTTGCAATTAATTTAAATTCTATCAGATCAAATTTAAAAAAAAAATTAAAGCTCAGCCACACTATATTTAAACAAAATTTCCTTTGAAGATTTTTTTTTTAATTGAATTTTAAGAGCTCAAACTGTCAATATATTGATACATTTACAATAGATTGTTTTGAGAAGAAGAAGAGATCAAGGCTTCTGGAGACTTTTATTTCTGAAATTTCACTACAATTTAGACTTTCAAAGTGCTGTGGTGGTTTGGGGCAACTAAGCCCCTGACAGCTGCTTGCTCACTCCCCACCCCCACAGCATGTTGTGGAGAGAGAATCAGAAGAGTAAAAGTGAAAAAACTTATGGGTTGAGGTAAAGGGAGTTTAATAATTGAAATATAGTAACAATGATGATTAAAATTTTTCATTAAAAGGAAAATCACAAAGAGACCTGTAAAACCTGAGAATTTATGCAAATGAAAACAATTGCTCACTACCAACTGACTGATGCCTGGTCATTCCTGAACAGTGGCCCCCCAGCAATCCTACCCCCAGCTTTGTATGCTAAGCATGACATCATATGGTATGTAATCTCCCTTGGGTCAGTTGGGGTCAGCTGTCCCTCCCAATGCTTTGTGCACCCCCAGCCTACTCACTGGTGGGGTGGGGTGAGAGGCAGAAAAGCCCTTGACTCTGTGTAAGCACTGCTCAGCAATAACTAAAACATCACTGTGTTATCAACCCTGTTTCCAGAACAAATCTGAAACATAGTCCTGTACTAGCTGCTATGAAGAAAATTGACACTAGCCAAAACCAGCACAAGTACTAACTTAATACCTTGAGAAATTTCACTTAGAGGTAGAGAAGAATAATTCTCGAAACTGAGTTCAGTGACGTTTACGTGAAGTGGTAAATACTGTTAATTTTGGAAACCCAGAAATGATTTAATGTTTTGGTTTTTTTTTTTTTTTATTTTGATCTTTACAGATCTTGAGGCTGTTATCATTGAACTCAGTATGGCAACTTGATGTTTCAAAATGGCGAGAAAAATCGTAATAACAATAAAAAAAAAGTAGTGGGTTTTTAATTTATTTCCCCATGGCTTATTGCAGGCATGTAGGAAAACATACGAAAACATTATAGTAATGAGCCCAGCCTTTAACAAACTGCCATTTTAAAGCTTTTGCCAAAGAAGCTTGGGGGTGGTGGAGGGAAAGCTGTCAGAAGTCTGAAACTTCTTGTTAAAAAACAGTGGCTTTAAGTTATAGAAGGGCACAGGATATCCCATTTGTGTTTTCTGATAGACTTTTCAAGCCAGGTGTTCTGTTAGTCCAGCTCTAATCCCCCAAACTTCTCAACAGAAGTTTCCCAACTGCTGAATAAACGTTCTGCTAGCATTCTCCTGTCTCACTTAAGGGATTTATGCTGGTGCTGGAGGCAATAATTACCTGTGTTGAGGAGAAATTATTTCATTTTCTTTAGTAGCAGGTTAATCTTTGTTCCATTCTTTACTAATCATATACCACAATGTTCCTTTCCTCTGTTTTATAGGTGTCTTAAGATCTTAGGGTTCTAGCTGTCTACTAAAGCAAAAAAAATAAACTTTTAAAAAACCTCCCAGCAAAATACTTAAAAAACAGAGTTAGGTGCTGATTTTGTGTTCTTAGTTATTCCATAGCTATGCAATGAAAAAGAGATATTCTGAATCATCATGCAAGAGAATTCCCATTAGATGAGCTTCAGCATGTAATTAGCTTCTATGCATTTCATTGTTTGGTACTGTAGTAATGCCTCACTGATCACCATGGTCCTTAAGGAAACTGGTTGTACTCATAACTCCTATGAATGATTAAAAAAAACATGCTTTTCATTCACAGAAACAATTTTTCACAGTGCGAAGGTACCATCACTACAATAATATGTGCATTAAATTATCTGTACTCACACTGTATTTATGGATAATTGCATAATTATTTATATATACAAAAATATATTAAAAGAACATCTTTAAAGTTGCAAACATCAAATTCTTGGAAAGAAAGGAAGAGATAATCTTGCTAACACTGCATGAATTACTGTATTTTCTTTCTGATTTATAGATTGAAATTAAGGCTCTGAAAATGTAGTGTCCAAGGCATAAACTAGTTTTGAATGACCAGATTCAGACCCATTAGATTTTGATGTTTCAGTACATTTGAAATGTCACATAGCATTTGAGGTGCAGCTGCTGTTGCAGCTGCGGTGGTTTAACATCCTAGTTAATGGTATCAGAGGACTGTGAGACAAAGACCATTCAAGAGGCAACGTGGTATTTCTTTAGTTCTCTAGTGACATGTCTAGATGACAGATGAAGTTCGAGATAATTGTGGAGATTGAATTCTTCAGTGGTATTAAACATGAGACTGTCCTCCAAGTTACTGCAGTCACATATCATTAGAAAGTATGTGCTTTCTGACTATTCAACAAGTGAGCTGAAGACTTTGTAGGCTGTCTTTGGTATGACTGCTGTTTGTTCCAGAACTTCTTCCACTATGCTGCAAAAGCAAAGGTTTTTGGCACAGAGAAGGGATAAAAACCTGTGATGGACAATAAAGTATTAAATCCTATGCTGTTGCAGAACAGTATCCTTTTGGTACTCTGGCCTGGAACTTGCTTATGTGCTCTATTTGCACTGGTGTTTGTACAGCCAGTAGCATCATAAGAGCTGTTAAGATCTGATCTGCACTGTTGTACTCGGGGGTAGTACCTAGACCAGGTCATCACAGGGACCTTCAAGAAGGACTTTGGCAAAATTGCATGGAGAGTGCTTTAGTTGTTAAGTAGTCGTAGAAACACGTGTGTTTCCGCAGAGTTTATATATTGGCCAATTCTAATTTTTTTTGTTTGTTTTTTTTTTCTTTGGTGAGCGTGATGGATGATGTGTCCCACATAGTTTACTATTAAATTTCAAATCATTGCTCAACAAACTTGAGCTTTCCATAGAGACTTGCCAACATATTTTGACTTTGAATAATCTACTTTTCCATAGCTTTGTTTTAAGAAATAGCTGTGCAACTTTAGTAGAAACCTTACAGTTCTGGGCAGGTGGTACTAGCGGTTGCAGAAATGTACCTGACAACTGTATTCAGTACATAACTTTAACAAAGTTGCAAGATCCTGAAACTGTTGCTAGGAAGTACTGAGTAATCTTGATAGATAGTAATTTAAGCTTCCATATGATGTTCTTTGTATTTATGAAAATTCTTCTCTGGAAAGAATGTGAAGAAATAACTTCTTGGAAGAGGCTTTTTGTTTCTTCAGTTTTTAATTTTTGTAGTTTTAAAGGTTATGATGGTTGCATGAAGCAATACAGGGTCTGTTTTGCTATCAGTAGAACAAACAATAGTGTAAACCAGTGTAGCCAACCACGCTGCCCCAGTCCCTGCCCAAAGGAAAAAAAAGAAGTGAAAAGAAATGTCTGTTGTGAAAGTGAATTCTCATTTGTTCCTGTTACTTAATTGCTATGGAGCCTGCCTCCTAATTGTGAAAAGTCTTTCTGGTGCCATTCATGTACTCAAGCAGTAAGAAGAAGTCATGTGACTGTTTAGAAATCCTAATGGCATGTCCTTTTTTTGGCTTGGATACAGTTGGTGATTTTGGCTGTTTTCTTACCTTTTTCTTGTTAGCGTGTAGCTGAAATGTTTGTTCACAACTCTGGCAAGTTTCCTATGAGGAAAGCTGCTTTGTGAGCAAAGACTTTTTTGTTTTAAATGATGCAACATCTCTGTGCAACATGATTTAAGAGATTTTGTTATTGTGGAAGGAATAGGTAAACATTTTTTCCTAGTCTAGTTACCAGCCAAGATTCAATAACAGGTTTTTAGGCAATGGATTTTCAGCAGGGCTTTATCTTACACTGGAGATTCTTTGGTGGTACTCGTAATACGTGGAGGAAGGGATTTTCAGCATTGGCCTTAGACATTCTAAGTGAAGACAGTGGGCTTAACCATTGGCTTCACTGTAGACAAGTCAGTACTGAGCACTTTCTAAAATTTAATAATTGCTTTGTGATGAGTGATTTGTAGTGACTAAAATACCTTATCGATTTGTCTGAGTGAAATTTTATTCTATCAGATGACTACCAGTCCTAGTATAGCAAACTCTTTTACAGTGTAAGAAAACCTGTTTATGATTTGTTTTTCAGGTCATAGAAGTTAAGTTTTGGGAAAGTATCCTTAAACTTCATCTAGTTGGAGCCTATTTCAAGACAAGCTTAGGGAGTATTTGTAAAATTAAAAAGGATAATTTAAGGAATCGTATAAAACTGTGTCAGTAAATTGACGGGAACTACCAGGGATGGAAGGGAGAAGAAATTTTGCTGAACTGTAAAGAGTTAGAGTAACAGAGAACCCAAAGAACCCATAGCTGTTAGTGTGGGTTTAGAGGTGGCAAGTTCAATAGTAAATTGAATAAAGATGATGGAATCAAGTATACGTAGTGATATGTTTAGCACAGTGTACAGGGATCTTCAAAACGTTGGAACTGATTCAATTTTCTTTTATACTGACTCTGTATTCAAATGCATACCACTGTTAGTAAATACACTGCGTCTTTTGTAGACGGTGGACATTCACAAAGAGAAAGTTGCTAGAAGAGAAATTGGTATCTTGACTACAAACAAAAACACCTCAAGAACTCACAAAATCATTGCACCAGCTAACTTGGAGCGACCAGTTCGCTACATCAGGAAACCTATTGATTATACAATTCTAGATGATATTGGACATGGAGTGAAGGTAGGTGATATTGTTAAAACAGCCAAACTGCAAATACATTGTCTTTTGTATATTTTCAAAATAACTTGCTGTTTCTCATAGTAATACACCAGTTTCTCCTTGCTTGGCCAGTGTGTCTATAAGCATAAGAGGAGTCCTGTCCAATTTGCAGTTGCCTCTTCTTTTTCCCTTGTCCCAGTGTTTCTAAATCTTGCAAGCCTACTCAACCTTATTTCTGAGGATATTTGAGACTATGGGTCTCACCTTTTAAAATGGGTCTGAATGCCTGCTTGTGTGATGCTGTTACTTGTTTTCTTAATCAGTTGCCAGGGATATACCTGGGGACTGAAAGGCTAATGGCCATCAGTTTCCTGCTTGAATTAGCACCACAAACTATGATCCAGCTGTAATTGCCACTGGTTTGCTTTGAAGCTCACCTGAAGAAAGGGTTTGCATAAGAAGTATTATGGGCTGCCTTTTCTTCCTTCTGTCAGTCAGTTATACCCATATCCTGTGATGCGCTTTGTTAAAGTGAGTGCTCTACAACTTTAGTGCCATATGGAGTTTCAGAATGGGAATACTGCTGCCAAGCTTGAAGCCAGCTGGTTTTCTCTTTTAAGACTAGGAAAAAAGGAGGCATTTCAGGGCAAAGATCAGACTGAGACGCAACTGGTGGCTGTTGTATGCGGATGTTAGATCAGTGTACGCAACAGCAGTAATATCATGTGTGAGATTATTTATGCACATTTTTAAAAGCGCATCCTGAATGTAAACAGTCTTGGCAGGTGTGAGCTCATTGTTAACTTGTGCTGCCAGGAAAACAAATACGGAAAAGAGAACACTGACAGTGTTAAAGTTCCAGGAGAAGAAAGGTAAATAACATAAAGCAGTGTCATTTTCACATGAAAAACTAACAAATCTGTAAACCTGCTAAGTAGCAGTAAGGTAAGGTGCTTCTTCCAGTCAGTGTACACCAAAATTCCTTTTGCTTGACACCTAACTGCATTAGGTTACCTATGTTGTTCAACTTGAACTGCCTGCTTGGATAGCTATTTAAATGGCAAAGATTGTTTAACCAAACTCTTAAAATTCAAATTCTGAACAGTCCAATTTAAATATCTTTGCCAAGCAATTTTTCTCAAGGTCTTTCAATATCTTTAACAATCAATATCTTTCAATATCTTTAACAGAAAGTCTTTCTTCCCCATTTCCTACTGAAAGAGTCAATCTCGGTTTGTAACTTTAGACAGATTTTAAAAAGACAAGTGACTCTTTAAGCTTGATTTGGAAAACCAAACCAACAAACCCCAGCATTAATAAGTAGAGTTTTCACCCAGAAATTATTACCAGTCTTGTGTTAAAATCTGCTGCTAATTCTTACAAATTTTGAATTTATGCAGGTCAGCAGAACTCCTTCTGGATATGGATGAAGCATATTAACCTGTAGGATTACTGTTGCTAATATTTTAATGATCACTTTTGTTTCAAGGAGATTATTTTAGAACTCATTAAAGAATAGTTTTTAATTGCTCAGCAGCACAATCTTATTTAGCACAGGCTCTAAACCATTATAACTGGTATCCCACTTACCTCAGTGTAGCAGAACAGTACTCACTGATGCAATGAGGTATGTTCTTTCAGAACATAGTTCATCAAATGGATGATGAGTCAAATGTGTATTTGCATCCATTTTTATGCTTGTGGTATGCTGAAAACGTTTTACAAACTTTATTTACAATATACTGTATGTATCAAGAAAATAGAAAAGTATTGTGTACTTGTGAAAGAGTAAGCGGAGAACTTGAAATCATGCTATCCTTAAGATCCATAGATATGACAATAAGTTGGAGAACTTGAAATCATGCTATCCTTAAGATCCATAGATGTGTTCCAATCAGGTTAACCATCTGTTAAGCACAGAAGAAGAAAAACATTCTGTTGCTGATGGGAGGAAGTGGCCAGTTGTGCTTATGAACCTGTTTTTGTTGTGCTTGGCCAAGAAATCCAGTCTACCATGTTGAGAGAAGTAGTATAGGCACTTGAGCACCTATTCCTTCCATTCAGAAATTCAAAGCATCTTCAGGAAGAGATGCTTTACCATATGGTTTCTTTAGAGGTGAGAGAGAATTTAAGTGCCACTATCATTCCAGCAGTCTCTCCTCATCTTCCCTCCCTAAGCTACCATGCTGCAGGAATCTGAAGATCTCCCTAAAAGAGATTTGATTTTAATTTTTTTCAAATGTTTTCTGAGTTACAAAATCTTCAGATCTGTTTGTCCCTCCTAAGAGCTTTTTAGTCAAGAGGATGAGGGGAAAAAAGGAAAAGAAGATCCATTCAAAGTCGTGTGTATTAAGGTAAATTACCAGGGAATGCTATTGAGGAAAAGGTCATGGACCCTCTTACGTAACTGGCCACTGTGGCCAGTACAGGGGCACCTGGTTTTCCTGTGTAGCTGTATGAAGCAGAGACTGTTTTGGTTAATAGATCCATAGAACTTTAAAGTCAAAGACAGGATATTTTCCTAGTAAATCCTATTATGTTTGTTTTTTAATACATTAGGGTCTCTTCTAAGTGGGTGAAACAAAGTAGGCACCCTGGATGCTCTGCTGTTGAGATTCTGCGTATTTAATGTTTGTTTTTACAAGAATAGTACATTCAGATTAGCTGAACTGAAAACGGATCAAATCACATTGAAATGGAAAGACAAGTATTTCTGAAAAAGTGATTGTATGGAAAGAAGAGGAGATGCATGCCAGTAAGGTGTAAGACTCAATGTCAAAAAGCTAGCGCTTAGGCTTTAAAATAAGATTTAGCTGTTGATTAATGTCTTAAAATACAGCTTAGAAAATACTGGTATGTGGTGCAGTATCCATATAGAGTGCTGTACTTCTTACAAGACATAATGATTTGCTCTTGTCATTTGTTCAAGAGAGATGTCATGACATCAGGTTAAGAGTTAACTAACAGCATTGTCTAGGAGAGAAGTATTAGCTGAGAAAGGAAATAGTAGCTTAATATTCTGGGGGCTGTTGTAAATATGTTAATGCATGTAACCATTTAAATGAGCTCAAGGTATTGATAAGGCTATTCTTTGAGAGCACAAATAATTTAATCTCTAAAGCTAATCTATCTAGATCTCACGATTCATTCTGAAAGAAGCTGACATTTTGTTAGCACTGTAACAACTTGCGTAAACAATGTACAATCAGAGCATTAATTTTAAGGTGTTAATCCAAAGGCTTTGTAGTCAATGTATGTTAAAAGTTTCAGCTTAAATCTTTTTGTTCATAACACCTTCTGCTTTAATCACTCTTTCTATGATCTACTGATACATTATTTTGTTAATGCTGAATGCTTAACTTTTTTCTTTCTTTTTCCTTTCTCTTCATATCCTGAAGTTCCAACTAACCTTTCAATGCTTTTTTTCCTTACCTCTTTTATTTGCTCCATTTATGCATTAAGTGGTTGCTTAGATTTAAGGTAAGAAACCCCAGGGCTGGATTTCCATTCTTATTCTTCTGAGATTATTACACACGGGGAGATGATTAACATAAATGTTACTTGATTGTTTAAAACAACACCCACTCTCCCTCCTGTGTATCAGACCTTCTGTTGAATGATTTCATTGCAGATAAACATTTTGTGATACAAATTGATGTATTTATGTAAGGAAGCTAACACAGTTAATTTGAAAAGACTTGTGGCAAAATATTAACTGTCTTCAGCATACCTAGTAGATGATTTGCAAGGGGGGAATGTTGTGCTAATCTTGTATAGATGAAAAGGTACAGTGAATTAGGCAGCTGAACATGAGCCTCCCCCTGTGTAATATTCTTTTTATCCTATATGCGGTGTAAGGTATGATTTGATTTGGATTAATGTTTCAGTGTGAGATTGCTCAGATAATGGGCTTCAAAGGTCTGTAACAAATTCAAATCTGTATGTTATTTTTTAAAGTTGCAGTATCCTTTTTTTTTTTCAGAAACTGCTAGCACTGTTTAAATCCTGAGAGGCATTCATATGTGGAAATTTTCACAGATTTGATAGTTGTGCAAAATATAAATCCTAAACAAGCTATGTGATACATTTTAGTTGAGTATTAAATGTAGTACATCAAAGAACTCAGTGAAGTATGTAAAATTCTCAAGGACTTTAAAAAGGTTTAAATGCTAGTAGCCTTAGGAGCTGCAGAAGTAGCAATAAAAAACATCAAATCAATTAGGCAAGCAGTTAAATGATATTACATAATACTGTGTTGGAGTTCATAGCACATTAATTGATAGGTCATAACCTTCATTGAGTATTGTGACATCTTTCTTTTCCTGAAGTGCTAGTGGTTTGGGAAAAGACGGAATGAAAGTTTTCTAGTAGCAGCCTGCCACAGTTTTAAAGAGGGAACTGTACTTAAGAACACAGAATACTTACATGTAGTATGAGTATATTAATTAAATGAAGTTCCAAGTTAATGTGAAATATTTTTCATTACTGTTTTCCATGAGTGGAAAAAGCTGAAAGAAAATCGTGCATATTCCTGAGAAGATTGCCTATAAAACCAGGTATTACTGTAGCTATCCCAATGACGTCCTGATGGAATTGGCCAGGTGATACTTTTAGTAATGTATTTAAGTCTGTGTAGTACATCTGATCACAATGGAAAATGGTTAATAAATGAGAGATTTCTTGCATGTTATTTGAAATACATTTTTACATAAGTGTGTGAGGTATGGTATTTCAAGTCACACAGTGTTTAAATGCTTTTTATTTGAGAATTGCAAAATCTTCTCTCTGGCTCTTTCTGTCTGTATCCACACAAAATGGATACATCTAATGCTGAAGATGGCTTATTCTGAGCACAGTTTATATTGGATGACCATTTTCCTAGCAATCATAAAAAAAAAATTTGCAAACTCAGGTGTTTTTTGTTGCTCTCTGCAGTTTCAATTATAAACAAGTAATGACTATCCTAAAAATAAATTTATATATAATTATAGATTTTTATGTGAGGTACTGTATCAGATAATCTCATCTGCCATGGTGATAAGAGCCTTTAGCTTTTCACAGAAAATTATTTTTTTCTATTTATAGGTTTGGAATGAAAATAACATTTTTGGTTATAATGCAAGTTAAAATGTTTCTTTGTTTTCACTAGAGAGAATCTGATCAGAAATTTGATTTGGGAAATGACAACATGTCAATCAACTCATTGCCAAAACGTGAGGATTTAAAAAAAGAATTAAGTCAAAAAGCAGCATAGCTTCTCTTAGTGGACATTAGTTACTAGTTAAATCTCAGTAGAGTTGCTGTTCATTGGCCGGAGAGATGAAAGCTAAAAGACAGCTACTAATGCTAGTTCCATGTGAGAAATAATTTTACTTATGAGAGATTGGATATGACATGTTTAGCCTGCATTGATTTTCATGGCTGTGAAGAGCCCTTAGTCTTAGTCAACAGTTGCAATATTAAACTGACTGACTGTAGCAGGGCTAACTGTGCTTGTGTCTGGGTAGGTTAAACTTAAACAGATTTTGAAGAAAATGCCAATTAGAAGTCAAAGGAATATCTGTAGCATCTGCTGTCAGCAAATCAATTGAAGATGACATTGTTTAAAGCTTTTTGATTTGTCAGACTTGGTTCTTCAGTTACTTTACATAAGTGGATGTGGTGAAAACTTGTTAATTCACTTGCTAAAGCTGCATCTTATGGTCATTTCCCGAGACATTTCACTTTCATATCAACTGACAAACATATAGTTTAATTAGATATACAGAGTAAGTTATTCAAGTGGCTGAACACAGCCTGAAAGGGAATTTACTTGGAGGTAGCAGATAATGGGTCAAAAATCTGTGCCTCCTTTCTGTAGTGTTAACAAGATGAAGCAAGGTTTCAGAAGGTAGATTTCATTCAGCCTTAGTTTGTTTGTGCTGGAGTCAGATATAAAGTTGCTCAAGAAGGTTGAGTAGCTGCTTGAAGTTTCTGAATATGACCTGTGGAACATCACTGATGGGACACTTTTTCTGACTAGATTTTGGGCAAAACACGATTCTTTTGACATGCTGAAAGTTCTAGAAAATCTAATATGATGGTAAAGCACCACTTAAAAATTTCTAGGCTGAGCCGGATTTTAGCTTTAGAAAGTAGCTCCTCTTGAGATTTGAGTGTGTGGAACAGCTGGTATTCAGGATTCTTGACAGGGGAGTGGGGTGGGAGTGAGGGGAACCAAAGTTAAAAAAAAACTACAACAACAAACCCCCAAAAAAGGCAAACAACAAAACCTAATAACAAACCAAAACACTTTCTTTTGGTAATTGGACTGACAATGAAATCTTCTTCAGAAGAGTAAAACATGTGTATTGAAATCTTCCTTACAGGTAGGTGCCTTGCAGCCATGTAAATACACAGTGCTTTGGTGCAAATAGTTTTTGTAGTTTTTGCACCTCTGATGAGCAGCTCTTTCATCTGTCCACCTATGTGCTTATGCATTTCTTGTTCAGTGATGTTTTTTTGCTCATGAAAAAATGTTCCCAAGAACTGAATTGAATGAACTGCAGGATTTCTCAGTGTTAACTTGTTTATTTCACTACAAATGTCTTATATGGTGGAGTGCTAAAGAAGCTTAATCTCTTAAATGTTTCTAAAAATATAACTATAAATGAAACTCAGTCATATGTAGCACCTTAAGAAGGTGATTTAATCACTGCATCTATGGAAAAACTAGTTGCCAAAACTAAAAATTGGACAAATAAGTCTTATTTATTCAAAACATTAATTATAATTTTCTAAGGGCTCTAGTCAGTCCTGTACTGCGTCTTAAAGTCATCAGATGTCACCTTTCTAAAACTGACAATGTAGATTAGTAGAGAAGATACTGGATGAAATACTATTGTACCCTTTTTAAACAGTGGTCCACAGTTGTAATATTTTCTACTTTCTTGCTTCCATGGGAAGAGGCAAAAAAAAAAAGGAAAAATCCGTGTATGTGTTCTGGGTAAGACCCCGTGTGCTACTTGCTGTTCACAGGGTTTTCTTCCCATTTTTAGAACAGTCAGCAGCATTTTTTTTTCTTTTTTTAATGAGCATTGTACCCAGATCATTACTACTGTCTTAATTTTTTCTTTTTTTAGCACAGTGGTTAGCTTTTTTGGCAGTTGTGAGCAGAGGCAGAGGTAATCCTTTGTGTTTCTGGTTGCAGGCTCTATTGTGCCACACAGTTTTATAAAAGAATTTGCAAGCTTTAACTACACACCAGCCATAGATCTGTGGGGTCCTGCAAACCAGCCACCAGAAAACAGATGCATTCTTCTGCTTTCCCCCTCTGATTAAATCAGTTGCATCTACATAGTTTCAGCTGTGCAGAGCCAGGGGAAATGTGGTCAGAAACCGGGTGACTTCTGGCAAATTCCACTTTACTCCAGAAAAGGGATTTTGGAAACTTGACAGCAAATGCAAATGTGACCTGAGTTCTGCTGGTTGCTTTGGATTTGTAAGAGGAATGTGTGTGAATGAGAATTTGTGTATGGAAATGATCTTTACAATCATATGTGCAAACCAGAAAAGACAATAGAGTAAAATTTTGCAAGAGGGGGGCATTAATGTCTTCCCCCCTCCCCCCTTTTCCACCTTTTTCCCCCTTCTAGTAGAAGTTGTCATAGAAAGGGACAGCTGGAAATGTGACAGTGTTTGTATCTCAACTGAAGTTGCAACTCTGTAGTTTTAAATTTTATTTTACTTTTCTTTCTTCAAGGCAGTCTGTAAACTTTCTTAGTGGTTTGTATGGTATTATTTCCACAGATCTGACCAGAACGGTTGGAAAAATGTTATATTCTTTATTTCTCTTCTATCGTTATTTGGCCATAAGTCAAAGGGGAACTTACAGTAGCTGATCGTAAAGCCATCAGTGTTGTCAGATTTGATGACAGCCCTGTAAACCTGTTTTTTTAACATTTTGATTTCAATGTTCAAAAGTCATTACAAAGAGCTTGAAACTAAGCTTACTGTCAGTGCATTTCCCCATCTTTCATTGTAGTCTTTAAGGATGGCTCCTTTTGTGACTGTAGTTTCGTGGCTAAAATATGATCCACTTCTTTTTGGCAGTATTTTCTAAAGCTTATTTCCCATCCTATGTCAAGGGTATATTTATTCAGAATGTTAATGAAAGTAACTAGCAGTCACTGGATTTATGCATTAGGCAAGTATTACTTTGAATTGTTACTGTATACTGTGTGATGCCACTACATTCTCCACCTCTACTGTCCTTTCTTTTTGTGTAGTTCTAGCCCAGTGGAAGCCTAAAACATCATTTTTGTTCCTGCAGTGATTGTATATGAATAATTAGAGCCTTTATGGTTAAATATATGGAATCTTACATTAACTGTAAAGTATTAGCTAGTGGTTACCTCATCTGGTCAGAAAGAATAGGTTGAAACACCTAAATGGACTTTTCAGGGGCATGCAGATTGGTTGACATTTGCTGTCATCTAAAAACTTTCAAAACCCCTGCCCCTGTAGGCTTAATGGGCAGTTTGAAATATAGCAAGAGACAATGCAGTAAGGTGGGGTTTTTTGGGCAACTGAGATAGGTGGGTGAGTAAAACAGGCATCTTATTAAAAAGGAAGTACAGGGGTGCTGCAACTTTAAAAAAAAAATCTAATTTTGTGCTGTTTCTTAATGTTCCGTGTATAGAATAAAACATTTTACACTTACCCTCCTCCCTTCAAGTAGTTGTAGTTCAGTGCTTACCTCATCCCTCACTTGAATTAACTTTAGATTTCTTGTTGCTTAGAGTTGGCTTAAAGGACTTCATAAGACTATGCAAAATAAAGTTTTAAATTGACATTACAAAGTACTCTTGCACAACTAAATCCAAACATCTGTTTTTTGAATCTGACAAAAGAAACCCAAACCCAACAAACAACTTCCATTGCTTGATTTTCTTTTCCTCCTAGCAGATTGAAAATGTAATAGCATTGGGATTATCTAGAGCCAGGGAATTGAGTTTCAGTGCATTAGAATATTGATTATATTCTGCACTGAATTATACTCTGCACTGTTGGCAATATTTATGAATTCACAAATCTAAACATTGTCAGGGTTTTAAATGAGTTGTTATAGTCAAATTTTAAAGGAGTAATTTGCCTTTACTGGTGTTTGCAAATACTCTTAATGCCTTGGTCTCTGTTTCTTTTATATATGGGAGGTAGGGGTAGTAGGCAAGACTTAACATTTTGGAAATAAGAAACACTGTGAAATAGAGCATTACAGAACAACAGAAAAAGGGATGTAAGCATGCTTAGTTAGGTTTGTTGAATATCCCTCTGTCTGAGCATTTGTTTGAGCATTCATAAATCACAGCTGTTTTCACAGAGACTTGTAGGAAGACCATGTATTGGGTGTATGCATTGAGAGAATTACACTTGGCTGGCATAAGCAAAATGCCTACACTGGTAACAATTGTTTAGGATTCCTATACTGGTCAATCAGTCAGAAATGCAGATGAGTTTTTAAAATAAGTTAGAGTAAATTCTTTAATATAAAAGTTACTTCGTTAGTATTTTACCCTGAAAGAGGGGAAATGGGCAACCACAATTAGGTCACATCACTGCTAAATATTTTTCTCCCCATCCATTTATTTATCAATTCTTAGAGATTAAATTGCTACAGATATGATGGAGGGAAAATTGCATCTTTTTATGTTTCTCCATATAGCTTTCTCTCTAGGTCTACATATATATAAATAATATTTACAATAAATATTATCTTAAAAAATATCATACTGTGAAAACATTGAGCCAGTAATGGATCATATTTGGAGATTACTTTGACCCTTCCATATTTGTATGGATAACTTTGAATTGTCACCTATCAGATAAACCTCAGTATTTTTTAAGAGTATTCAAAAATACTTTTGCAAACCTACCATTCAATAATGCAAACTGAAATAACTGTCTTTATCTCAAAAGATGACTGGAGGGTTTAACCAAGTTAGATACAGTGTCTGTATTGTTAGTGTTTTTATATGACAGCCTAAAGGCAAATTCACTCTTTGTACATACAATTTTTTACCACCACCACCACCCCCCCCCCCCCCCATAATAAAGAGTCCTTTGAGCTCAACTCTTGACTTCTAGCAGAGTGGAAATTGCATATAAAATGCATGGCCTCTCAATTTTTTTTTTGTTCATTTTAACTTTTCCCTGCTTAATTGCTAAAGGTATCTCAGTGTCTCTCCCCCTAGAAGCTTGAGCTTAGTGAAGGCCGTTTTTTTTTCTCCCCATTCTTTCATGCAGGTCAGCACACAGAATATGAAGATGGGTGGGCTGCCTCGTACAACACCACCCACCCAGAAGCCACCAAGTCCACCGATGTCAGGAAAAGGAACTATTGGGTAAGTGCAGTTACCAAATCTATGAACGGTTTTGGTGAACAAGAGGAGGGAAAAAAGGAAGATTCTTTCTTTTTCTGTGGTGTGGGGTTTGTTTGGGTATTTTTGTTTGGTTTGGGGTTTGCTTTTTTGGTTTGTTTGTTTGTTTTAACCATTCACAAAGGTCAAGGGGTGTTATGTTCTCATTCCCTTACACTGATCTTGTCTCATGTATCAGTTACCATGTTTCTGTCAGAAGACAGCGGGCATCATTACTTTCCCAACAGGAACTTCTTTATCATTGCAGAACACTTACAACTACGTGCTTTAGAGTAAAAAATCAGTAACTGTGTGGCTTTGACAGATGGTGCTAAACAACTGGAAAATTAGTATATGGCACTGTTCATTAATTATTTATGCTGTGTGTGATGGAAGTGCTTTCCTGTTAAGTCTGTGAACTTAACTTTGACCTTAGGAAAATATGTTATAACTGGGATAAATTCAGTCTGTTGGTATGTTATTATGTATATACGTACAAACTGTGGTGTTTTATCTTAAAACAAGATATGGATTACTTTTAAAGCATGAATGGGATGTGCAACACAGAGTTTATTGTTAGGAAGCTTGAAGTACATGAAGAAATCCTCAATTGTTTTTTCTCATCCTGTGAAGTAGATACAGCAAACTTGCAGGAAAACATACTTTTTTTCATTAGCTCTTATTACTGATTAGTATGTAGCTGTTTTTTAAAGAATGAAAAATCTTTAAGTTTGTCTGTATTATTTTAATTTGCTTCTAATATGTGCTTGTCCTTGGGCAGGCGTCATTCTCCCTATCGTACATTGGAGCCGGTACGTCCTCCAGTGGTACCAAACGACTACGTGCCTAGCCCAACGCGCAATATGGCTCCCTCACAACAGAGCCCTGTTAGAACTGCTTCTGTGAATCAGAGGAATCGCACATACAGGTATTCAATGTAGTCCTGTACAGTGTGTGGTTAGTATTGTATAAGCACATAGACAATAAAAGCTGTGATAAATATCAAATCCATCTGCACCTTTACAGTGAAACCTGCTAATTTACAATATGGACTTGGAACATCATTTGGCATGAGGAGAATGCACTCTAATAAACCCAGAATAGTGAATCATTTTAAGATTGTTCACTTAATCCCCTAGTCACTTTAAATTTAGTGCTATCACTTAGTTACAGTACTTAGTTACTAAAATTGTGATGTTTTTCAAGTGGGTAGATAGTGATATTTTAAGAAATGCTTTCAGAACTGGGAAAAGACTTTGTACACAACTTGCTTTCTACATGTTGAAGGACTGCCCAGTATGTCTGTGGTCACATTTTTGTTTGAATGGTCTTTGATATTTATAGATTGAGTAGCTGAAAAAGAGCATTGTATTTTGAGGCTATTGGTAACAACATTCAGAGAATAAAGCTGAATTATGCTACCAAAGATTCTGGAGAAAGGTAGCTTTTTCTGTAGGATAATAAGTTCAGTGATGTGACAGGTCTAAATACTACCCCTTGAAATCTGTAAACATCATAAGCACTTGAGGATGGCAAAACAGATGGACTTAAGATATAAGAAAATCTGACTTTTACTTCATCTTGAAATTTCCATATTCTAGTAATCTCACGTGAAAGCACACAAATCAGGGTCTGAACAGTCTACATGTTTTATGAGTTACAGGAAAAAGGTCTGTCTTTGCTCAGTAGGGTTTAACAATATTGCAATGTTGTGCTATGGAACAAGGTTGCAAAAGTTTTTCATTTTTGGGCAAGTTTACTAACTGAAAAAACTGTCGTGTTGTAGTCAAAAGTGCAGAGAGTTTTAGAAAAACTAAGCTTTATATAGGTCTGTATCATCCTTGTTTCTTTTCTCGTTTTCCCTGTTACTTCTCTGAATTAGGAAGGTGCTATATGAGGGATCTTATGTTTCAGCATGCACAGCAGCATATTCATACCATGGGTTATTTTGGTTTCTTACAGCAGCAGTGGGAGTAGTGGAGGAAGCCATCCAAGTAGTAGGAGCAGCAGTCGAGAGAACAGTGGAAGTGGAAGTGTGGGTGTTCCAATTGCTGTTCCTACACCATCTCCTCCCAGTGTCTATCCAGGTAAGTGGAAACTTACTGTTCCTCTTTCTGACTTTGCATTAACCTTTATCATTTGCAAGTCTCCTAAACCCCAAGGAAAGTCTCAAAGTTCATTATCCAGAAATGTGTAAGCCTTGAAAATTGCTTGCTATTGAAAGTGTGAGTTTGAATCAAATAATATCTTTTCTGGTGGTGTCTGATGTGCTCCCATGCTTGTTTCATATATTCTATATATTAATTTGTTTATCCCTTTTTTTTTTTTGCCTGGCTGCCTACATGTAACTAGGTAGGGCACAACTACTTTTTTAGTAGGCTGGGGGAAACTTCTCCCTTGTCCTTTTTGAGCAAATACATGTTTCTTTCAGTGGCTGTGCAGATACATAGAAGCATGTTTTTAGAAAATTAGATGAAGTGAGAGGCAGTCACAGAGTAAATCTTTAGTACATTAGTGCAAGCCTGAGTTGTCACAAAAAGATACTTGTTCAACGTAATTGCCACAGTCTTTCCAGAAATAGGAGGTGACATTAGTACTCTTCTTCCTTTGCTCAGTCCTTTAAGTGAAGTGCATAGTTGGTTTGCACCATAATCTGAGATACATGATGCTACTGAAACAAAGAACTGGACATATTTGGCTCTCCTCTTCTCTATATGAGGTAATTTATGCAAAGCTAAAGGCAGCCATGCTGCAGATACAAGCATAAATAGCAAGGTGTGAAGGCATCTTTCAGAAGTGATGGCTTTCAGTGAGAAGTTCTGGGTTGTTCCCTTCAGACCTGTAAAGAAGTGGATTTGCTTGACCCTCATTTACCGTCTACATAGGAATGAGCCTTTTTTTAACAGCTCCATTTTTCTCTCATCTCCTCGTGCATTCTAAAATACTATGCATCTAATGAAGAGCTAACACTGGATAGTCAGCAGCTTTCTCTAATCCTTGCTAACATATCTCCTTATTAACTCCACCTCTTCCTCCTCTCTTCACGTAGCCCCTGCTGGCTCGGCTGGCACTGCTCCCCTTCCTGCTACCTCTGCTCCTGCCCCCACTCCTCCTGCTCCTGCCCCTTCCTCTGCTGCCCCAGATGCTGCTGCTGCTGCTGCAGGAGCTCAGCCCCTTGCTGATGGCTTCACCTCTCCAACTCCCCCTGCTGTTTCTTCCACACCCTCTACAGGTGAGTGTGTGCTCAGCTGGTGGGCAGAGGAACCCAGATGTGATCACGATCCAAGGCTTTTTCAAAGTTACTTCAGAAGCAGTGACCTTTTTTAAATTATGTTTTAAAATATAACCAGAAAATATCTGCTAATAACCAGCTATAAGGTAATGGCTACAGCAGACAATTCAAGATGTGCTAGTTTTATAAAGAGCAATAATTTTTAATTCTATTATTTTTACATGTATATAATTAATTATTATAATTTGATTACAGTTTGGATACTGAGACTCTCATAGAATAATTATGGTGGGGGAATCAGCACTGATAGTTTGGGTCTGATCTCTTTCAGTGATCGAATAAAAAAAAGTGCATCTAGCAAAGTATAATTTGTATGACTTGTCTCTTCAGTGCTTTCAAATGACAGGTATTCCTTCAATGAACTGATTAAAAAAGCCAATTTTTTTTGTGTTCAGTGTCAGGTAGAATACAATTTTTTTATTATGCAGAATAGTGCTAAAGCATTTTGTTTTAATACATGGTATGTTGGGTGTATATTGCAAATTGCTTTTTTTAGTGCTTATGAAATTACCCTACGCTTTTTCATTTTCTCATATGCTGAAGTTGCAGCATAACCATAAGACTGTTCTATATCAGGTTTTGAACAGGGAGTTACACCTGCATTTTAAAGATCTCCTTTAGACAGTGAAATTCGTACAGAGCTACCTACGACCTTTGTTATGTTGTTATGGTGGAGGCTGATCACAATGGTCTGAATAGGTTTGTGTATTTATTACTGTTGGTGTCTCTTAGAATTTCACCAGGTGCCAGAAGCATTCCTGAAGTCCTATTTAGTTTAAGGTGCTGTGACACATATAAAATGGGAATATACTTATGCTAGAATCCATGACTCTGACTAGAAGCTTCCAGACTGTAATGAATTTTGGTATTAGAAGATGATCCTGTTGTCTAAACTACTTCCATGATTAGATGATGAGCTGTGTCATGTGGGCCCTCAGTCAGTTTTCCATTTTTGATGCACTGTCAGTATTCTACTTAAGCCATAATGCTTCTGTATTTTTAATAAATCAAAGTCGAGCAGAGATTAATGTTTTAATGGCTATAAATTCACATTCACAATCTGTAAGAGAAATTTCAGGTTACTTACTATTTCTAAGATCTTTTCTTGCCCTGTGCTATTAGTGAGGGTGCTTGCATGGCTCCTCTGAAAAAAGTTTTTGAAGAGACTGGATAGTTTACCATCTATGAAGTTGTAGGTTTTGGTTCTTAAGGATTTCTTATGCATCTTTTTTCTGTCCTCGCTTCATTCTAATCACCACCAATTTCTACCAGTGCATTAAGAAACAGGGAGACAGGCACACTGGAAAGATGTATTAGGAAAAATGTGAAAAAGATACATATATATCTTTTATATATATATATATACACACACACACACATATTAGGAGGATTCCTTTGTAGTAACACCTCCGTCTGTAAAAAGGGCATTTTTTGGGATGTATCCATACAAAGCAGGAGGAATATGGATTTTTGCATTTGCTCTTAGGAGCAAGTAACATTTTATTTACTGACCTAGTGTGAAGCTTTGCAAAGGAATCCAAGCAGAATGGAGAAAACAGTGCAGGTTTTTTAAAAAACGCCCATTTCTTTGTTCTGCTGCCCTGTTTACTCCCCTCCATGCAATTCTCCTCAGCCACAGTGACCACCCCTTCTCCCCTTGTTTCCTTGCATTTCTTCAGAAATTTATTTCTAGCACAAGTGGTGGAGGCAGAATAGTTAAGGAGGGTAATAACCCATATGGCTATAATAAATCCAGTTTATTATATACAGCATATAAGGAAAAGAACTTTATTTGAGCACAGAAGAGAGCTTAGTGGTCTTGCTTAGAATCAGGATCAATTATTTTGATACAGGAAGTGATTGAAACCAAGAGCAAGTTTTTAAGGAGTTGTTTCAATTGACAGCTCCCTGAAGGAAAGGGGCTTTGAGTATGATTTAATTTATTTCCTTCTTCAAGGAGTTCCTAACATTCTCTTCTCCCCAGATGGCTCTCTGCATGTTTCCTGAATAGCAGTAGCGTAGTTAGTATTGTGTTTTTCGGTTGCAGAAGGTAACAGCTTTGAATCTTGGAAATGGCGTACAGTTAGTTTGTATGTATATGGTGTTTAATTGCTGAACTGTGAAGTGTAACTTTTTTGCAGGTTTATAAATAACTAAATTTGCAAGAAGCTGTTGCATTGCATAGAATGGATAACTGGGAATTATTTTCTTTCATATTGAAGCTTTGTAGCTTAGACAGCTCTGTATTTGGATTTTGTGAGCAGTGCTGATTAGAGGCAGTAGGGAGAGCTGTTTTTTGTGTTTCTATTGAGATATCCAGTGTCCTGACAGCCTTGCAGTTCAACTGTCTGACAGCTCCTAGGATGCAGATGTCTTTAAAAAGACCCCAAAACCTTTCCAAGCCTTTGAATCTTGAATGCGAATATAAAACAGGCAGTCATCATTCCTCTCTTTGCTAATACATTTCTCTTTCTAACCTAGGTCACCCAGTTCAGTTCTACAGCATGAACAGGCCTGCATCTCGACACACACCCCCAACAATAGGGGGATCTTTGCCATATCGGCGTCCTCCTTCGATCACATCACAGACAAGCCTTCAGAACCAGATGAATGGAGGGCCATTTTATAACCAGAATCCAAGTAAGAAAGTTTTTCTGCTCTGTTGGAATTCAGCACAGAGGTGAATGGAGAGGCCTTCGGGTCTCTGAAATCTTATGTTCTGTTGCCCCTGCGGATCTTGCAGTTAGTCTCGGGTGACTTCCAGTACATTGCGGGTAGCCATGCCAGAGCTGCAGTCAAAGTACAGAGTGTTCAGCTCCCATTATGCCAAGCAGTTTAAAACAATACTGGCTTTGTTGCCAAATAAATTACTTTTGATCTCACAGTCACTATCAGAGAAGCTTAATTCCTTTACTACACCATGTGTCATGTATCTGCTTTGTTGGATGGATGGGTATTTGACATTGCACCAGAACACTGATACTTCATTAATCAGTCTTTATCTTGTATGCTTTTTCCTTCTGATTAATGGTCAGTTCAAGAAATTGCATTTGTTATACAAGGGTAAGCATTAGACACCTTGGAGTCGTCATGGTGTTTGGTATGGGATACAAAGGTGCTGTGTTATCTGTTAAGTCTACAGGTGATGTTATTTTAATAGACAACCTGTCTTAAAAAGCAGGATGAGATATTAACAAGGAATGGCGTGTCTGTGTGACAGGCATAACACAGTTGCTTTTTATCTAAGCAGTCCTTTTCCTGTGCTTCTGAAGTGACATGAAGGTTTCAATAACAGAGTAAGGGAGACTTTCTTTTTTAATGAAGCTGCTGTGAAAGATGCAGGAAACATGCTGAAGGTTCCTTGTTAAGAAATCAGCCATTACCAGCAGGATTGTATGTTGACTTGGAAGTACCACTGTGCATTAAGTACCACAGTGCATTTATGTTTTGTGGTGGTGGTTTTTACTGGTTTGGTTTGGTTTTGTGTGTGTGTGTTTATTTGGGGTGTTGTTTGTTTGGTTTGGTTTTGTGTTGTTTTTTTTTTTTCCCTTTGTTTAGGTTTGCTTTTTTTAATTGAGCACTGAATTTAGAATTAGGTCAAATGCTGCAATCTGCATTTAAAAGATTTGATCAGGTTCAAATGTTACTGCTTGTGAATTATCCTGCCATGCTTGTGCATAACATGAGAAGGAAATGGATCGTCCTGTTGGGGACAGAGGAATGGAGGAGGATATATAACTAAATTGCAGCCCAGTTGCCTGAAATACATGGTGGTGTTAATCACGTTATGTGCATATTGAAGGCAGTAGGGGAACAGGCAAGAAAGAATGGGTAATAGCAATAAAAGAAACTTTCAGGATTACCTTAGCAGTAAAGAGGATTTTTAGCATATCCAGAGAGTTTCTGACAACTGCTGTGCATTTCTGCTTTAGCAAAGGGATAGTTCTCTTCAAGCCACCATTGCATTGTTAATAGGTAATCACAGAAGATGCCAGATAGACTTTAAATAGGTTACAGAACCGCAGTGCAGTCTGCATACTGAATTGTGGCTAAGAAGATAATGATTATTGTGATTAGTCACTTGAGCAGTAAATCACAAACGTAATACTTAAATTATAGTGGCATACTTGATACAACAAATAAGCAGTTGTAGTAACAGACTTTTTATATATATGTATATTTCTGGCAGAATACAGAATTTATTAGTTTTGCAGTTATGACTGTTAGTAAATCCAAGTTTTTTTGGCCTTTACCTTGAAAGGAGAGGATGCTTGAGCATCTGTAATTGATGAGACCCTAAGAACAGGAGGACTGTTTAGTCTGTAAAGAGCAGGGTTAGTAGTTACAGGACAGGGGCCACAATTGCTTCTCAGCATTCCTGAAGAGAGGGAGAAAACACAAACTTAAGAGATTAAAAAGAGACCTTGCAACAGGCCGAGGAGTGTGCCAGCTGTGGCTTGTGTTCTGCAGGCTGGTTTTTCCACCTCCATTTAGTATGTTTTTAGTATGTTGGCATAGCCATTTTTGTTTATTCGTTTCACAGGAAGATGAAAGATCCTTTCCTTGTCTCACTCTTTTGAAGGCCAGTTCTAAGATAACATAATTTCCCTACTTCATGGTGAGACCTTTTTAACAACTGAAAAGAAAATATTAAGAAATGCAAACCCTAAATGGTCTCAGCATATGTCTGCCCAAAGCTGCTCTTGCCAGCCATGCCACCTAAAAAGTGTTTTAACTTCTCAGCCTTAGATACCAGTGTCGAAGCAGTGTGCGGAGTTCAGCACAGGCTGAAAACCCTGTAGGAGAATCTGGGCGAGTACCAAGATGGTGGTTTGCACTATACACTGTGTAGCTGAATTCTTATCAGTCTGAAGCAGTCTAGTAGAAGGTGCTTTTGCCTATTTCTGAATTAATATACAGCAACTGTGTTGATTAAACTCTTAATCTACCAATGGTCTACATGGAAAGAAGCTGGGAGGGAGCATTTAAGCTGGTGTTCATATTGTCTTTTGAGGCAGCAGAGGTACAGTAAAGTTCTTTTGATGCCCCTTATAAACAAAGTCATTGTTAATAAAATATTTATCATATTGGCTCCTAAATATCAAAACTAGATTAGAGTCACTATATGTCATATAGTATAATATATATGCTATGTATATATGTATATATCATATAGTATGATATATATATAAAATAGGATAGTCCCTGCACTGTGCATAGGCGGAAGCACAAACCAAATGAATAAACAAAGAATGATGTCAGCTAGCATTAGCATCAGCATTTTGATTAAACTGCATAACCCAAACTAAAATTTTTTTTTCATAGTTGCTTGGAATGCTTGTCTAGAGTGATTTATTTTCTATGTGGAAAGCCTCTTTATTTCTTTCAAAGGAATAGCACATGAACGAAGTACGCTGAAGGGACCCAGGAAATACTAGTCTCATGTGATAGATATGAAATTGTGTGAATCCACATGATGATGAATAGAGGAAACATTTTGAAACTGAGCATTTTTATAGCATGTGTAATTAAAAAGGTAGGGACTTCAGAGCTGCACAAGGATGCTGAAATCATGAATATTACTGCATTTCAGTAGGATTTCAAATTCAAGTTCCCTTTTCCTTCATTGAAAAAATGTAAGACCAATTTTTTCCTAGCTACTGTGATTGCACTTGAAAGAATAAATACCCTCAGAGGTCACATCACTCAATTTAGAGAAGCTGTAATTAGAAATCTATTTCAGTTTTTCTCAAGAAATACCAATTAAATGGTGAGATAATGGAGCTTGCTTTATATGGAAGTACAGGGGTATTTTACAACAAAAAGGATGGTTGCTCCGTTGGGTTTGATTTTTGTTTGGGATGTGTAGTTATGAAAGAAATGTGAATGTGAGTGACAGAAGAAATTCAAAGCACTTCAGATAATAGTTCTACTGAAATACAGGAAGCCAACAGAAGAAATTTTGAGACATTAATTTTAAATGCCCTGGAGCTTTTCTCATTTGTTGTGATGGCATGAATTAATTTTGAAAAATACTACATCATACCTGGCAGTTTTCTTACTGGCTCTGGGATGAGTCTGAAATTTAATTTTCTGCAGGCTAAAGAAATGTGCTGGTACCTGAAGTGTACACCATTTTCCTCTCAGTCTTTTGGACGTGACTAAATGTTTTGTGTGCCGCTACTAACAAATTGTTTAGTTGTGCTTTTCCTGAGGTGTGCCTTCTAAACAGTAATCTTGTAACTTGCTTAAAGGACATTACTGTTACTTTAGCAAAGTGATACTAAACCTACATAAAACTAGGTAACTACTTTTTTACCTGAACTAGAAAATTGAAACTTTCATTCCTGGGTTAAACCACAGTTCCGTATTGTAACATTGCAACTGGCTGAATGTATCTTAAGTGTGAATTCTCATGTATTGTACCAGGGCCATTCGGAGTTCAGTGCAGTGGGCTGTTTTGCCTAAAATAACTACTGCATTCGATTGGGTTTTCGGCCTACTTTTTGGTGTAAAGTTGTTATATTAATTTTCATTACTAAGGATTGGTTGATGCCGCTACAGAAGTCATCTCTAAAAATATCAGTTTGATCTGAAAGGTGGAGGATTACAGGGAAAGAATCCTCTTGATAGATTTGTTACTTAGGTCTGTTCATGAAGTGCTGTGTTGCTGTAGCAATAAGCTTCAACTTAAGAGAATGCTTCAGCATGGATTCTTAATCTTATGGAAAAGAGCTGCTTGGAAATTTTAAAAACAAGAGACATCTCCTTGAAGTAAGGTTTAGGAATACCCTTAAACCACCTGAGCCATTTCGCTTTGAATGTCAGCCTTTATATGTGAGTCTGGCAGACTGCTACACTGTCTGAGTGGTGATGACATCTACTTTCCTGTTTGCTGCTTTGTTGTGTTTCTAACTGAATGCTTCTCTCTTTTTAATTTCTGTGGCAGCATCCCTTGCTCCTCCTCCCCCCTCCATCCTACAGGTAACTCCACAGTTACCACTAATGGGATTTGTGGCCAGAGTTCAAGAAAACAGTAAGTTTGCTGCTTCCTTGTGCTATGATTTATTACTGGACTTGACTTCTGTTTTGAGTGGATGAAGGATTTGTCTGTATATAGCCAGAATTCTGATTGCTCTACTGCCTCTGCAAGTTCATCTAAAATTTGAAGGGAAGGAAAAGGAAATAATTTTTTTGGAGAAACCTGATCCTTCCTTTTCTGAATTTTATTGTTTCTGGTGTATTTCCACAAGTTCTAACTATTGGTCCCAGTGCAACTACTTGGGATAGAGGGTATTTCTTCAACCTGCTACCATGGTTCTAGAGACATTTTCATGGTTATACTACTGTTTATTTTCAGTTTCAGATACTCCTCCCCCACCACCGCCTGTGGATGAGCCAGTGTTTGATGAATCTCCACCTCCACCACCACCTCCAGAGGATTATGAGGAGGAGGAAGCAGCAGTGGTGGAGTACAGTGATCCATATGCTGAGGAGGACCCTCCTTGGGCACCGAGGACCTACTTAGAAAAGGGTATGTTTAGAGCTAGTAGAGATGATAGTATCATGTTTGCAACAATAATTTCGCATAACCACCTGCCATCCTGCTTTGGACATGGAGTCTGCCTAAATACCTTTGTAGTATTGTGGTGAAGGTGCTCCTCCAAATGGTAATTTAAAGAACAGAAGTTAAGCTACTCTGCTAAGTCTGACTGACTCTTTCACCCCTTTCTCCACAAAAGAAAGATACTGAATAGCTGGCTAATTACGTATTTTTTAAATGCTCTGTCATCTATTTAAGACTCACCTTTCAGTAATCTGCTTAATCCTGATAATCAAATTCGTATGAGGTCAAAAATGAATGAATCGGTGCTGCAGTTGCACTTGGAACTATGAGTATATGTGTGTATCTGGAGAGTTGCTGCAGTGTGTGTTTAGGGCTCTGTGAGATGCAGTGCTGCATCAGTGTGGGGCTGTGCTAAGCTAAAAAGTGCTGGGTGTGCATAGGACTGAGGTATTGCTGCAGGGCTGCATCTAGATGTCTTCCAGTTCTGAAGCAGGTGTGTGGGAACATGCTGGAGTAAAACTCAGGTAAAATAAACTGAATAGGTAAATGGCTTAGGGGTGCTTGAATATGAAAAAATCTACAGCCTGGTGTTCTCCTGTGAAACAGGGTCATGTACCTCTTAGGAAAAGGTGGTAGAAAATCTGATATTGCAAAGCAACTAGGTGTCTCAGTGGAGTGACTGTTAAAAACATTCAGTTTGCATAAGGAAAAATAATTCAAGAATGCCAGTGCAGGACTTGACGGGAGGGAGGGGAAAAAGAGATGGAAGAGGTGCTTTCTGTCAACTCCAGCCCAAAGGAAATATTACTATTCCTGAGGGAGATGGAGAAATACGTGGAAGGTTTTTTGTTATTCTCCCACCCTCTGTTTAGCTGGTGTGTTTAGTGCAGGGAGTACCCAAGCTCGGCTGAGAACAAGCTGAGACCATTTGTGAGACGCTTTATCTGTTGACCTCTCCACACCCTTGATTGAAAGCAAGTGTCACTATCTCTGTTATGTTTCTGTTATTCCCGCTATCTGGCCCTTAGCAAATCCTCAGTGGCATTTCAGCTAGGAGCAAAACAGAAAAAAGAGGACCCTGATGTGCATTGGTTGTTTATAGCAAATAATGCAAAGGGGGGTGTTTGTGTGTGTGTCTGTGTGGAAGAGAGGCCACAAAATCATGTGGCATGTGGCCTGGGAAAAACAGCTTTCTGTTTGAAGAAATAATGACATGGGATAGCAAACTGTAATGGGAGTCTTTAAGGATAAGCTGGAGACAGGCTTTTAGTCAAAACAGATTTCTGCAGAAAAGCATAAGTATAGGAAACCAGACTTTCTGTCATATTTTGCCTATGCAAAAACATAATTTTGATCAATATTTTGAAAACTAGATGACTGAAATATCTAAAAGGTTGCTGTGTTCTGAGAAATACTCATAAAACTAATAAAAACTTCTTTATACATTGTAAAATGTTTACAGTGTATGAAGAAGTTAAATAATAGTTTTACAGTCCCAGAAAAAATGAGGAACTGACATAAGCATAGATTCTGTTCTAGTTACATTAATAGCTTTTCTTCCCTTCAGCCCACATCTTGAGATTCGTCTGCTTTGCTGGAGATGGGAGAACAGTGCTTGGCTGTGATTTTTTTTTTTTTTTTTTTTTGGTTGTAACAGATAAACTTGAAAGTTATTGAAAAGCCCCATGCTGAAAGAGGACTTTCATATTGTCCTGGGTTCAGCAGTAGCAGTCATTTTTTCTTCTCCTTAGTAGCTGGTGCAGTGCTGTGTTTTTGACTTTTGTTTGGCCTGGGAATAGTGCTGATAACACCGATGTTTTTAGTTACTGCTCAAATGTTTAGTCTGCCCAAGGACTTTGTGAGTCTCATGCTCTGCCAGGGAGGAGGGGAAGCCAGGAGGAAGCAGAGACAGGACACCTGACCCAAACTAGCCAAAGAGGTATTCCATACCACAGCACATCATGCCCAGGATGTAAACTGGGGGCAGTTACCCGGAAGGGCTAGTTCACTGCTGGGTTGGGCTGGGTATCAGTCTGTGGGTGGTGAGCAGTTGTATTCTCTTCCCTTGTTATTTCCATCATTACCATTATTATTGGTGGTAGCAGCAGTGTTTTGTGTTATACCTTAGTTATTGGACTGTTCTTATCTCAGCCCATGGGAGTTACATTCTTTTCATTCTCTTCCCCAGCCCTCCAGGAGCTGGAGAAGGAAAGGGGGGGCAGTGAGTGAACGAGCTGCGTGGCTGAGCTTAAACCATGACACATACCCAAAGAATGTCTATACTTACGCTGCTGTGGAATAATAATGCATTATCTTCTGCAAATTAATTATTCCTATGGCAACCCCTGAAATTCCAGTAAACAGTATTCTGTGCCACATGATTCAAAGTGGACAAAACTGGTGGAAATGGCTGGTCAGACACTATTACCCCCAGTAAGTAGAGTAGCAATTCCTAGGATTTGTGCTTATTCTTTTGGTATGGCTGCTCACTTAAATTTAAGTTCATATGAAAGTGTTTCTAATGGGATTAGTGCAGATAACCTTTGCAGAAGCAAGAAGGCAGAAGCTGGGACACTAAGGAGGTGTCAAATCCAGGGGGTTGCTATCGAGATGGGGTTCAGTGTGATCCTGTTCTGTAAATGGGTCATGTGTTGTGGGAGGTGTATTTAACATTAAGACATGCTTTAACCTACAGTTAAGGAAGAAGTGAATAGCAGATCTATTTTGAACAGATGGAGAAACTCTTAGGTAGGATACAGTTACTGGGGACATTGAACTTGAGGGCACTAACACATGGCTATAATAGCAACAGCCAACCTGCAGTGTCCAGGGAAACATACTGCAGTTTTCCATTGAGCTCTCTGTCTGGGTCTGTGGCATGAAGAGGTAAGAAAATGTCCCAGCTTTGCAAATCAAAAACCAAAAAATCAAAACAGGTATCCAGAAGAAAAAAATGCCTTCACGCCAAATAGAGAAGGTGTGTGGTCACATATATCAGGTTTCTGTTGGATTATCAGTCTGGGCTATGTCAATGGTCAGTTTGATGTGAATGGGGTTCAGCCGAACTGTGTAATTGCTGAAGGACCAAAGATCACTAATTGGAAGAACATACACCTAAAGGAGTAATTCTGGTTTCCATATGTACATTGAAACATGTTAAGATAGAAACTACCTGAGTTTCTATCTGAACATGCTTCAGATAGAAAAGAGGTCCTGGCTCAGTCTCCCAGGAAAGGGTGCCACCTCCTGAGTCAGTATTGCTGCTTCGTGTCTCATCTGGAGCCTTTATTGCAGTACTGGCCTGGGCTCCTGGTAACTCAATGGTGTAAAAACAAAACCAGGCTTCGGGTAATTTTATAAGAGGCTTAACAAGAAGCAAATTTTAAAAACGAAATTAGGAAAGAGTTTTTCGTACTTGTGATCATGAAATAGTGAGACCATTCAGTATGAGAAGGGACTAGAGTACACTCAAACATGAGAAAGAAGGGAAGTGTAAGTTACCACGATCCTTGGATTATTATTATCAAAAGACTTAAGAACAGCACAGTGACTGTAGGAAGAAGTGTTTTTAAATGAGAATATAGTTCATAGAAGGCAGTTAAAAAGGAATTTTGGAGGACTTTAATTGTATCTTGTGTTTGTGCAGTGACTTCTGGTTCTCAAGCTGAAATTTTATTAATTTCTCCTTTAGTGTTTTGTTTCCTTAGAATGGTATGTCTAAAACTAGTTAGAATGAGTGACTGCACAAGGGTGCATAAGCATAGAACTAGCAACATGTGTTTTTCAAATATGCTCTGGTCAAATGATACAAATCTCCTGTTTGGGTGATCTGTTACAAAATACAAGAAATCTCTATAGATACTCTGAGTCTCCACTGGCATTGATTTGGATGTTTTACTTGATAATCTTTTCAGGATCCAGGTTTCCCTAGTAAATATTTGTATTGATTCCTTTGGCCCCTCAAAAGGAAATGACCTCTTTTCTTTTGAACAACATGATGAGTTTAATAGGACTCTTGGAAACTGTGCTCATGAACACATGCTGTTAATTTTTTCTCCTTGCTTTTGTTCAGAGTATCTTCCCTTCTATCCTCAGTATGAGATTTTAGGATCTCTGTCCAACATCCATTTTCTTTCAGTGACAGCATTGCGTGTTTCATTGCCAAGTGCTCAAAGCAGTGACTGATGCTATTTGTTTAAAGTATTCAGAGTCCAGCATAGCTGATTTTCTGTATGGAACACATAATAATTGGTAGGACTAAGAATGGAAAAACATACTGAGTTGATGTCTCTTTCCTGCCGTTTCAGGGCAATGACCTCTTTAATATTTGCCAGTGCTTTGTCCAATTTCTTTGACTTTACTGACAGCTTTTGTGCCTTCAGTAAAATATTCTGCAGCTGTAAGAAAATTGTCCTGTGATATAGTAGGCATACATTTTGTTTCAGAGAATCACCTTACTTCCTAGTTCCACCTGGGAGCCACCTTGGCACTGTATACCACGGGAGTGACTTCTAGCTACTGGGACTGCACCTTGGCATTTTACAGATTTAAATGTGACATTATCTAAGGTAGATGGAAGTCTGAGACATTAGCCTTGGCTCACACATACTGTGATCTGAAAAGAGCTCTTACTGCTCTTCCTCTTCCATGTTTTCCTGCTGATTAGTAGTTGTGCAGGGATCTGATTTAGCGCATATATCTAATACATGAACTCTGAAATAGCAGTCATAGCCATGGGGACTTACAGCCACCTCCTTGTATCATTCCTCACCAAAAGCTTTTTGTGTATTTGTAAACTTCTCCTCTGATGGGTCTGGGAATAGTAAGAATAGAAGAATTACAGTGGTCCTGACTCATGTGCTTCAAAGCATGAGCTCTTATAAAAGGGGCTGGAGGAAGCTGATGCTCTCAGCAGGTTATTCTGCACACACAGAGGTGAGGCAGTGCAGCTCTCTGAGGTTGCCTTGAATGTGGGGAACTTTATATGAGGCAGGTTGATTTTTTTTTTTTTTTTTTTTTTTTTCCCTTCTTTATTCCTTCTCTTCCCTGTACCTCTCCTAACAGTCACACTCTGTTCTTTCCTAGTGGTGGCAATCTATGACTACACAAAGGACAAAGAAGATGAGCTATCATTTCAAGAAGGTGCCATTATTTATGTCATCAAGAAAAATGACGACGGCTGGTATGAAGGGGTCATGAATGGAGTGACGGGGCTCTTCCCAGGGAACTATGTGGAGTCAATCATGCATTACTCGGAGTGAAGACTAGAGGACAGAACGCTGCATCTCCTGCTGCAGGAGCTGTCAGGGCTTCCCAGATCTCCACCAGCCTCTGGGGCCCCATCCAGTCTAACTGAATGAAGGATAACTGTAACAACCACTCTTCCCCCTTTCTTCCCATCCTCCCCCATTATAAACCAATAGTAATTTGAGTTGTTTGAACAAATGGCTCTTTCAGCTGCCAGCAGAGGCTATCCTGGCCCATCTGATGCTGAATTAAGCTGACACATTCAGATGTAACAAACTCGTTGAGTAGCTGATACTTCACTCAGTTTCTGACTTCTTCTGACAGGCTTGGGATATGTCTTGGAATCCTGTGTGTCCTTGTGGTACTACCCTTGGCAGCAGTGCCTGGCGCTTGGGATGTCCTGGATGTTTGTGGTGAAGGTTTACCAGCCAGTGGACAGCCCTCCTGTTCCTATACTATGCTCCCATGCAGCTGGAAGAAATCATGTGCTAGCAAACTGGAATTTTACACAGAGGCGTTCCTGTAACTGACTTCCAGATAGCTGGTTACATCTTTAGCATAAACCCATCTGCAGCTGCTCTGCACATGTAGGCTGACACAGGGGCACACAGAGCTGGCTTTCATTTACTCACCTTTCAGTTTAGACAACTAAAATGGCTGCAGCCCAGAGGACCCCCACCCCCATTTCCTCATCTTTTGAATGCCACCAGTTTGTTTTGTGTTCTGCACTGATGTAAGTGTGCTCCTCTCCACAGTGAGCTACTTGCCACGGGCGCTGCTGGTTTAAACAGAACTCACAGATGCTGTTGACAGTGAATGCAAAACAAAGTTTACAGGTTCTCCTGGGGTCTGAGGATAAACTCTAGGGGCTGTGATCTAAGGCTCAAGTCTACTCGCACCTCCTTGCACTAGTGAAACTTACCCCCGACTTTAGTCTTATGCACAATATAATCTTAAAAATCCAATCAGGTATTGTAAATTGGCTATTTTGTACTTGATTAGATTTGCATATGTACTGTGAGAGCCCTGTGTAGAGGCAGGACAAACGGCAATTGTCGTCTTCATGTCTGTTGCCAAAATCTCTTCAGTGGAAGCAAAAAGGGCTGTTGTGTGTACTGGTTTCCCATGGAAATCCAAGCAGTAACTGGTAGTAGTCCTAGCTCTTCCCCCAGCCCTCTCCATTGTCTGTTATAAAGAAATAGGTATTCTGAGCTGACTGCTGGATCTGGGTGGAGTTATTACCAAGTAAAGACTCTGTAGCCCCTTGTGTTGCTAGTTTGCTTTTTAATCTAGTCTCAGTTAAAAATGCTGCTCAGTGATTCTGCCCAGCAGATCAGTGTAAAGTGATGGCTGCACTAGTCTGCCCTTGGTCAGGAAGGACCAAATGTTATCTTTGGGTAAATGTCATGCATTAACAGAGTGAGCTGGGTAAATCTCATTGCAGTCCTGTTAGCCTACAAATAGAGCTGATGCCTGCATTGCCAGTCTCCTGGGCCAGGGCATCTTCCTGAGCAACTTCTGTCACGTGGCCGAGTTCCAGCTGGTACCAGCAGTAGGTCCCCAAAGGTGTGACAGTGCTGCAGCTGTCTTCTGAGGCCTGTGTGTAGAACAGAGCAGTGCACAAGAGAGCATCGAGGCTGGGTTTGTGACAGTTTTGGCAAGGATACACGTAATTGACCCAGTGCCCTTGTTAGGTGATCAGTGCAGTATCAGGGTGGAGGTATAGGTTTGGTGCGTTCCTGGGTGGGGAGGCACTGTAGCTGCTCGAGGAAGAAAGAGGAAACAAACATGTGAGGTGTGTTTGTACGGATGGACATGGATGAATGTGATCACCCCTGTGAGCTTGTGGAAGAGTATGTTAACTCCTGTGACAGTGCATACGGAACCAGTTTGGTTGAAGCCTACAGCAGGTACAAGTTTGAAGAAACTGGTACAAAGATAGAAGTTACTTTCTCCCCCTATCAATCCACTACCTGCTTCTCTGAAAACCTGTGACTTGCAGCAAGACTAGCAGAAGCAGCTATGGTTAATTTCCTCACCCCATTGTTTCTCTGGGAGCAAGCCTGGAAACACAGGTTGTCAGTCACTGGAATGACTGTTTCTAGTGTCATAGGACAGACCTACACATTTTGCACAGGGAGGCAGTGCTCTTGGCCCAGGTGGTGGAACAGCAGTATTTCACAAGCCTTTGGTGCTCACAGGGTGGTTATGTTTTCCAGGACTATCAATGCTTTCCTCCTTTCTCTTGCCCTGGGTATGTCTGTGGTAAAGACTTGAGCATGGTGCTCAATTGCATCGAGTTAGGGCAGCTGAACGAGAGCTGAACCTCTCTCCCCGTGCACACATGCTCCATGTGGGAGGTCATGCATTGTTGAAATGTGTTTTTAACTAGGTCTGTGTAAGAAAGAGCATGTGCTTGAATGCTTCTGCTGGGTGGGTGGGTGGGTATAGTGTGTACCTCCTCTGTGTGTGGCACACACCAGTGTCCTTGTTCTTCAGTCAGGCAGTTGTTCATCTTGCAAGTTTTCTGTGTTGTGAGAACAGAGCAGTGTGAACTCTGGGAAGTGCTGAGCCCCTGCCAGAGCACAGCATGGAAGATGAGGCTGCAAAACCTTGAGAGTGGAATGTGTGAAGCTCCTTAAGGAACTGGCCTTGGTCTGAGGGCCCAGGGGTTAGTCAGGTCCCTGCTGATAGCAAGTGGGATTGTTTATGCTGCAAGAATTGCTGTGGATGGAATTTTTGGGTCACCTCCTGCTGGTTTTATGCTTTATTATGCAGTACTAATGTAAAGAAATTTGTTGAAGTTTATGCATAGTTTTTATTTTCTACAGGTTTTAATTCTGTGGCTTGTTTGGGGATGATGTGATGTAATGGTCTTAGATCAGGCCAAGGTAAACAGGCTGTGTATATTACTGTTACATAGATTGCATGCTAGTAAAGTCAGTACGAGTCAAGTTTCCAGTTTTGTCCCTTGTACTTCTCCTTCTCTGAAACCTTCTTTGCCCCACTCCTTTTTATTTTACGTGCTTACTTTAAAAAGGGGGTGGAGAAGGAAGAGGGGAACACCTCAGTATTTCAGATAGGTGCACATCTCTTCACTGAGTTCTGCTGCCACAGCCGAATGTGTTCAGTATCACAGGCTGTTGATCAGCAGTGTGTATGCATGAGAGGTGGGGGAAGGAGACACTCCAGAATAGCCCAAAGAAAGCTGTATGGCCAAAATGAGTATGTTTCTCCCTTTGAGAGAGCTGCCTTAGCCCAGGCAGCTATTTTTATTGTGCACAGAACTCAGTCAGCATCCTCTAGTGGTCAGTCTTGCCGTGCTTTGCTGTATTCAAGATTCTTTCCTTGCTAGGGCCAGCGCTATTTACAGCTGCCTCACTGCCATGTGCCTGTGCTAGAAGAGGTCCTACAAGTCTGACCCTGTCTAGTGCTGAAGCAGGTTATGTTGGTGCCTTCTTTCCAGTGTCAGACATGGCTGAGGTGGCATGTGTTGCACCACATTGTTTTGGGTGGTGTTTTTTTTTTATCTTTCTGTGATAGCTTCATGTTGTTTCTCTTACTGACGCAGCAGAGGCCTGAGAGGAGCAGAACAGGCAAGCAGCAAATTTTATGCTTGAGCATCCTGATGGTGTGCCCATGCCCATGGACTGGAGTAGGCACCAGAGCTGAAGCTATGCCTGAAGACTTGCTGGCCTGACTGGTGAGAATGAAGAACCATTGTTCTCACTGGAGGACAAGAGGTGCAGCATGGCCCCAAGGTAGCTGGCAGAGCAGGGTAGTGTTACCAGGAGGCTTACCGCGTTCCTGTGACTCAGGTTGTCTTTGTGGTTAGTTGAGTTGGATGTTCCTGAATGTGGCTGGAAATTGCTGCTGGTTTGAACCACAGCTGCCCACAGTGCCAGTGGTCTGTGGCAGTGTGGCTTATCAGTGGATGCCAGGAAGCCTTAGATTCAGCTAGTTCTTGCTAAGCTCACAGCTCCTGAGCATTTACGTGCTGTGCTGCTGTGGGCTCGTGGTGACAGCCAAAGGTGACATTTGCAGTAATGCAGTGTCTGAAAAGTGGTACTTTTATCTAGGGTGTTTCAGTTGATCATGAAAAGCGGCGAAGCTGCAGCAGGACACTTCTGGCAGAGGGTAGGCTGCCTGCCTGGTGTGTGTGTACATACTGTGGGAATGAGCTTCTCTGCTGGAAATGAGCTCTTTTAGTTACGTTGCTGGGCTTTAGGCATAAATCAAAAGCAAAACTTTCCTTTCCTTTCCAGAAAGGATGTGACTTCATGTGGATTAGCAAACTGGGAGCATTTACAGGGCTTCTGCTCCCAGGGGTGGAGCAGGACATCATGTGAAACAAGTGCCATTTGTATTGTCTTGCAGGGGAACTTGCTGGAAGTTGCTAGAGGATGCTGTTGGAAAGACCATAGTGCTGTGACTTCTACTGGAAGCAGTACTTGCATTTAGAGTATAAAGTCACTTGTTGAGCACTGCAGCATTTCGGGAAGCATTACAAACCCCATGGCAGAGACTTCCAATTCCTATGTTGACAACAGTGGCAGTGAGAAAAGTACAGCACTGTTGCATTCGCTAAGGCAAGTATTTACAACCCTGATCTCTAGAGAACATGGTAGTGTAAACTGAGCACTGGCAGGCAGATAAAGAGCTATGGCTCATAGGGCACCACTTTCAAGAATTTGCTGTGCTTACAGGTACATTCACCTTTTCCACCTTTTGGCATCTCGAGTATTTGGCACTGCCACAGTTTGTGGGTAAAATGGTACTACCCAGAAGTCAGAATGGTGCATGAACGGAACGGTGTGTAGTTGTTTTTCTTAATTTCCCCAATAGCTGAAGTCAGTGTGTAGTAATAGTCCTACTGATCTACTTTTGATTTTGAAACTGCAGGAATAGTGGGACACCCACCTCGTGTCCATGGGAGGGATGCTGAAAGCTAGATGCAGCCAAGGTTTGCCAACTGCTGTTACAAAGAATAATTCACAGACCATGGCGTTTCATTCAGAAAAACACCCATGTGTTTTGTGCAATGTCCTGCCCACGCAGGAAGTGTTTTTTTTCCTTTGGTACTCTAAACATACAAATTTTATTAGGACCTTTGCTTATTACAAGATGTGTTACAAAAAGGTCAGCAGCAGCCTGTTGTCCAGAGGTAAGCTTACACCCAGCATCCTGCTGAACACCAGCGTGGGAACAGCTGAAGTGTGTGCAGTACATTTGTTCGGCTTCTCTTAAAACCACAGAAGAATCCAACCACTACTGACTGATGAGGAAGAACTGTGTACAAATTCATTTCCATTACAGCGCCTTGGTAAAGTGCTGACATGTCTTGAGATTTTTTTTGTAAAGAACAAGTGCTTCTTTTCACATTTGAAAAAGTGTCTTTTGCAACTTGCATGGACAAGTAGTTTCTATGAATTCTCTGGAAATGTCAGTGTCTAACATGGATTTTGTCCATGCACTTTTTTTCTGAAAGCAGATAACCCCCCCATGCCCCCTCTTTGGTTTGCAGTCAGAGAAACACGCTGTGCTTTTGCTTTTGGCACTGCTGATGCAGTGTCTGAGTGCAGAGCCCGCTGTAAATGACCAAGTCCGCAGGACTCTGGGGAGCTGTATGCCACCAGTAATGTTTTATTGTGTGTGCCATTTGAACCACCTTCCAGTGAGTGAAAAACCCAATTTTTAAATTTTTTTAATTGTACTTGGAATTAACTGTTGCCGTGTACTAAACCCTCTTGTTACGAGCCCTAAATAAAAAGAACAAAGCACACACTGTGTTCTGTGAGCGTGCCACTGCCGAGTCACGATCCTTGTGTTTAGCTACAGGCTTTTCAACACAACAAGGCCAGAGACAGTTGCCTGTATATGCAGAAGCCCTATCCCAGGGGAGCTACAAGCGCAGCACTTACTTCCCCCAGCAAAGGTATGAGCACTGGCATCGAGCCTGCTGCCTTCAGCAGCTCCTCCCTCCACTTCTGTATGGCTACTCATTTCCTGTCATCACCACTAATGTAACACCTCCAATCCCTGGTGTAAAAGCTGATGAGTGATGCAGGGCCAGCATGCAAGTGTACCCCAGCAGGAGGTGAACAGAGCCAAATCCCCTACAGTGGACCCCAGAGAGGGGCTGCAGCAGCACTTACCAGCCACCAGCTGTCCTTGCATGAGCAGAGCATGAACTCTCTCATGAGAGAGAACAAGATCAAGAACAGGACTCTGCACGCCTGAGGGAGGAGGCAGATGGAAAAGGTGAGCCTTCAGACCAGGTCCTCTTCAGGCCTGTGCCTGGTGTGCATCATGTTACTGGTACAGCCAGCTCTTGCCCATGGGAAAGAGCTATGCAAAGGAACAATAAAAAACAATTTTATTGAGCGTGTGCATATAAGCTGGTGACCTGCAGGCCATCAGGTACCTAATCCCTACAGAGGGGAACCACTGATACCCTAAAAACACAGTATGGGTTCTGCACTCATGAAAAAGGAAAATGGCAAAACAGAGGATTAAACCAGATTATTAAATTTAACTACATCTTTATTGGATTGTGCATATTCCATTATAATGATCTATACTGGGTACTCTATAATGAAGTATTTCTTTTGTCCTCTCCCATGCTTAAAAAAGTATATTTATACATATATTTATATATATTTATAATATGGCAAAGCTCCCCCCAACCTGAAGCTATCAGTCTAAAAGAGCTTTGATTTTTCTTTTTGGAAAGGGAAGAAGAGGGGAGGCAATCCCACTGAAAGATAAAATGTGCAATTTTCTTTTTAAAGCAGTAAACATGAATGTATTTACAGCACTCAGCACAAGTCTGCTGCACAGACAAATCATCATTGCAATGACACTTTCTCTTACATTTGCATCCCCCATATTATACAGAACATCACCAGCAGCTGCTAATAGTGTGATCCATAAACCAAACTGCTGCTCCAGTTAATTTTGGGTCCACCGCAGTCCACTAGAAAGGAGACCTAAGATCTGCCATTACAACTTGTGACAAAGCATTCAGTTTTCCTTTTAGAAGTACAAGCTTTATAGTGCTGCATCAAATCAGCAGCAGAGAGCCTTGGGCACAGGTTTGTTTGCTAAATTTAACTTCCCTTTGCCCTGCCTGGCAGGTGGGTACCCACTTGTCAGTGCTAGTTAAAGGCAAGAGATACACAACAGCAAACAGTGGCATCCCTCTTCTCCTGCCGAACAGCAGCTCTTCAGTCCTGGCAGAGGCTGGTGCAAGCACATCTGAGTACCTGGAATTTAGCTTTGAATGCATCTTTGGCATCTTGGGAAAGGTGGGAACAGCTGGTTCAATTCCCAAGTCTCTTAAAATACATATCACCTTTGAGCATTTAAATGAGGGGGTATGCATTCCAAAATCTTCTCCTTCTCACTCACTTCCCTCACTAAGTCCCTGCCACAAGGGATGGTGCATGTAGCACTAGTTCCTGTTCCTCTAATTAATTTCTCTCTCTAGCTCTCTTCACCACAGATGGTACATGTTTCTGATGACCAGAGAGCTCCTACTCAACACCTTAAGAGCACCAAATACCCATCAAATGCAAATGCATCAAGTGCAAATCGATTACTTTACATTGTTAGGGATACACACGTGTTGTCACCCCGTTTGCAGTTTAGTGTTTTAAACTTTTCAAGATTAGACAGCCTGTGACTCACTGGATCACAGAGATCAGAGTGCACTGACCCCTGCAATGTAACACTTGTTTTGTCAGTCTTCACGGGCATTTTCTTAATTGAAGAAGAAAAGTAATTCAGAAAGAAAAATTACTCCATTTTAGACAAACTTACTATTCCAACATACAAGCTTAAAACCCACCAGCACATTACAGTAACATCTAAGAGAAACTAACCCTTGTAGTGTTAAATCCTCTCGGGTTTGGAGTCCGTCCTGATTGATTGTGCGAGGGAATGCAAAGCCAGGAGCCACAACTGGGCTGTGGGAAAGCATCTCCCTCAAAGACGATTCCCATCACGTCCAAACGAGGAGTGCTGTTTGAACAAGTACATAACCTACACCTTAACAGTGAAAAAAGGAAGAAACAAAACAAACTCTCATGTTCTGGCTGCATCATCACTACCTTCTGTCAGGAATTTATACTGCTTTCCTGGAGTACAACTTGATTTCAACATGATTCTGTATTTGACATGGTAACTCCCAGTAAGACCCATATAATTTTATTTTGAGTAAGAAACAAATTTACCTGCAATGATAACACTGAAGTAAAACAATTTAGTTCTATGCAGTATTCTGTCACAACCAGATTTCTCTTTTGCCCTTCTGTTGCTGAAATGGTACTTTTGGTTCCTTTAAGCTGTGGAAAAAGTAATTTTAACTGGGAGGAAAACTGGCCGCAGTCTCTGAGCTGACTTATCTGGTTGCTTAAGGGCACAGAAGGAAGAAATAAGAAAACATTTCAATGTGCAAGTCCAGAACAGTAAATCTTAAAATGCACTTGTTGAAAAACACTGCTCCCTCTCCCATCAGACCTGAAGCCAAAGTGATCCAGGTACCTTTGCTTTGTTTCCCTGATGTGTCAGTCAGCCACTGTTGCCCTGCAGGAAACTGTTCAGGAGAGGAGCTCTTTGGCTTTGAGGTCATGCACCAAGCTGAGCAAGCAGTGGTGGTTTGCCGCAGGAGCAGAGCAGGAACTTTCCTCTTCCACAGAAAATAGCAGATTATTTTATTGTGCGACTTGTGCCTAATCTCCTCCCTCAGCCACAGGTTTTGAAAGACTAAAGAGAACCCCAGCACATCCACCTCAAACATGGTAGCTGGGGTTTGTTCAGAACCAGACTTCTTTGGGGTTTGTTAACTAGTTTCTCCTATAAGCTTAGTGCTGTTGCAAGAGCCTTGTTTTCCCTTCCAAAGCAACTCCCCGAGACCTGAAGTACAGTCAAGTGTCTGAGAAGACTGGCTCCCTGCTTTGTACACCTGCGCTGCAGGCACAGAAACCTGCCAGAACAGGAGGCACCCTGCTGCACGGCAGAGAGGAAATGAGCACCAAATCTGTTCCGGATTAATGAACACAGCTGTATGCTCTCAGCTGCCCCTGTGGCAGCAGGGCTTTCCCCAACACCCCGACCTTAACAAGTGTCGGAGGGGCATATGCTTCATCATTTAACACAACAACAGCTATACACTCCCAGTATTTTAGGATCAAAGCATCTGCTACCTTTATGTCCAGAGTATGAAAGCTCAGCTCTCACATGCTCATCTTAACCGTGCCAAAAGGAAGCAGAAAGCTTCTTGCAGTGGGTGCGAGATCTGCTCCCTCAGTTTTCTGATTTAAATAAATATAACGGTGCAATTATGAGACCAGTGCACACAGGGGAAAATAACTTACTTGCAAATAAGGCATAAATATTTACTGTCACAAAAGCAGTAAACACACTAGAAAAGCAAGTTACAATGAGGGGTCTCATAAGCTGAAAAGGCAGCCAGGTTGCCAAAATTTCAGTGCCTAGCTGAGAGCACTGTATTTTTGTATCATTACTGGCTTAGGAAGCAAGATGCAACAAGAAGCAATACAGGGTGCCACCTTTGCTGATGCTTGTTATTTTTCCTGCAAACTTAAGAAAGAGTTAAACTTCTGTCTCCCAGCAAGCTGTGCAGCAGCCTGCAGTAGTAGCATGGATTCACTGTCTAGAGAGAGATATTGGGTTATGAACTTGGGCACAGGAAAATGAGAACAAAGCTCAAATGCCTTTGAAGAAATTGCACTTGAAACATTGCTCTGCCGAGTCCAAAGCCCAGAGGTGCCCACACTGAATGAACAAAAGCAAAAGGGCTGGAACTAACACACACCAGTGGAGCTGTCCTGGGGCAAAAGAAAAACAGATGGTGCAAGCAGGATTCCCTGGCTGCTCTCATCCGGAAGCACGCTGCACCAGCCAGGGTGGCCCTTGCCAGGGAGCCAGAGAACGTGGTCACTCACCTACCCTGGGTAACAGCTGGGGAGTTTTGGCTCCAGCTCTGCACCTCTGCCTCCACGGGTGGGTGTGAGCCCTGGAGCTGTGTACAGCACAAAGCAGCAGGAGGACCAGTGTTGAAAATTACAGCACCATCAACTGCAGTGTAGCTCAGCAACCTTCCTGTGGAGCTGCTCGCCAGCTACACTGAGCGTGCTTAGATCAACAATGCAAATGCTTTTAAGGACACTTTATAAGCACAAAAATAGTAGAAACAAAACTTTTTGAACAATTTGAAAGATACAAAAAAGTGCCTTTCCATAGCAGTGCTTAAAAAATGCACACAATGCTATATACTCTTATTGCTCAAAAAAACTAGTCTGAAATAGTAAAACGATTTCCAGAGGTGCTGAACCAGATTTGTAAAAAATCATGAGGCATCAGCAGAAACAGCACCATTCATTTATCTCTTTTCAAGATGCACTTATTTAAAACTCTATAGTTATAGCTGGGTCATTTTTTACCCTCTGATTAGCAAAGCTTTTTCCTATTCATAAAGTATTAATTCACAAAGACATTATTTTACTATTTGGAGTTTTAAAAAAACCACTCTATTAAAACAAAAAAAAAAAGGCATGAGGGATGCTGTCACATTATTTCTTAAGTCTATCAGCCTGAATTACTCTAATGAGAGAGAAGTTTACATCTTTTGTGCACACTTGAGGATACTGTCAAGTCAAGCTATTTCCATTGTTTCAATCTCTGGGGGAAAGAAAACACTTAAAACCCGTTTTTGGAGAAAAAGTAAACCAGCAGAGAAATCATTTGCCATCTGAGCCCTGACAGTGTCCCCATGCTGATGAGGGAAGTTGAAACAACCAAAGATGGAGCAGGTACAGTCCAAATATTTTAGTTACTTTACAAAGGTTGTGTACCACTACCCTGTACGGAACATGCATGGTACATAAGACCACTTACATCAACTACACTACCTTATAGCAACGCCCGGATACGTGGGTTAAGACTGTAGAATCAGAAACTACTCAAGAAAAAGGGCTCCAGTACTTGGTCTGGTGATTGGCTGTGCATCGGTGGCAAACAAAACCCAAAGCAAATACAACAGTCTATTTCCTAATCATGGGCCCTTAAATTAACTTATTAGCACATGTTATTGCCTCTCAAAGTTGTTTTTTCTAGTCTTCTCCCTTGACTGCTACAAGTGCCGCTTTGTAAATTAACAGGTTTATGCACTGGTTGCAGTCTCCAGCGGGTCTAAGAAAAGAGTGAGAATTCTCACTGTGCTGGCCTTGGGGGTGTTGGTCGATGAGAAAATAAACATGAGCCGGCTTCAGTGTGCACTCGCTGCCCAGAAAGCCAACCATATCCTGGGCTGCATCAAAAGGAGCGTGACCAGCAGGTCGAAGGAGGTGATCCTGCCCCTCTACTCTGCTCTTGTGAGACCTCACCTGGAGTATTGTGTGCAGTTCTGGTGTCCTCCACATAAAAAGGACAGGGAACTGTTGGAACAAGTCCAGAGGAGGGCCACGAGGATGATCAGGGGACTGGAGCACCTCCCGTATGAAGACAGGCTGAGGAAGTTGGGGCTGTTCAGCCTGGAGAAGAGAAGGCTGTGTGGAGACCTCATAGCAGCCTTCCAGTATCTGAAGGGGGCCTATAGGGATGCCAGGGAGGGACTCTTCATTAGGGACTGTAGCGATAGGACAAGGGGTAATGGGTTCAAACTTAAACAGGGGAAGTTTAGATTGGATATAAGGAAGAAGTTCTTTACTGTGAGGGTGGTGAGGCACTGGAATGGGTTGCCCAGGGAAGCTGTGAATGCTCCATCCCTGGTGGTGGTCAAAGCCACGTTGGACAGAGCCTTGGGTGACATGGTTTAGTGTGAGGTGTCCCTGCCCATGGCAGGGGGGGTTGGAACTTGAGGATCTTGAGGTCCTTTCCAACCCTAACGATTCTATGGTTCTATGAAATTACCACTCCCCAGTCTCTGAAGGGGAAATTTCCTGACAGTTTCTAATGAATTACAAAAACTTTCTTTAAATGCTTCCACAAACTTGTTTTGTGGAGATAACCCACCAGGCACAGACAAGGTGAGACTGCACACATCGTACAGTTGTGCAAGTACCTAACACTCTACACAAACCTACCTTTTCGTTCACGGAAAGAATTACATGTACAAGCGATGCATCAGCACGTGTCAGCCTTGGGGGTCAGCCTCGATTGCAGGAGTCCTGTCAGCTTTCAGAAGGGGTTAACACAAATATATTTTTCTTGAGCCACAGAAAGAAGTGATGAAGCCTACTAGAAAGTTAGAATGCATAATGGATTGGAATAATACGTATTTATCCTATTTACTGCATGGACAAATAACTTTGAAATGATTTGTAGCAGTATATATTTTTCAAACTATTTGGAAGGGAGGGGGAGGCTCTCTGTAGTATAAATATATTTCGCTCCAGCCCACTATAAATAAAATCTCTTTTCCTCCTCGGAACATACTCATTTTCAGTAGTAGTATGACCAGAATGTTTTGGTATGTTGCACCTGTACTTTTCAATCAATGAACAATGTACAGTTAATAGCAGAACACTTCAGCTCTGCACCATTACCCACCACAAACTGCCAAGAGATTTGTGGGGTGGTTTTTGTTTGTTTTTCTTCCTTTCTTTAAAGTGCCCCCTACATCTTCATCTTTGTGGCAATATGTGACTAGTTACAGAGTCCGATTCCAGGTAATATAGCGACTGAAACAATAAATACGGTTCTACAAAAACATTCTGGTTATCTTCTGTAATTGCGACGAAATATATCACAATATATTATATACCTACACTTATAATACATGCACAAACATGTCTCACGTGGACAGACACTACAAAAAAATTATCTCCCCCCCTCCCCTAAATGCAGAAAATGTAAGAAAATGAGGGTTTGGTCCAATCTGTATGAAGGGTAACAAAAAATGAAAGGGTAAGTTAATGCTTCTCTACCCACCTTTCCCAATAAAATATTGACACCCCAAGCCCCCAGCTTTTTTGGCGTAGCCGTGAAAGGGGAATGTCTTTACATTTAGCCTTAGCTACAGTTTGAGATCACCTCTTTTGATGGCGCTGTCACCTACATCCCCACATCCTCTCCAAGTGCGCAAGATCACAGGTCGGCCGATCACAGAGCGGCCCACAAGTCACGGAGAGCACCGGCCCTGGGGAGGTGGTTACCAGTCTCGCGACAGCTTGGTGTTCTGATCCCTTTTGGGAGGCGCAGGGGGTGGCCCCCTCCGTAACGTTGCATAGCCGGATAAATGACCGCCCCCAAAGCTGCTTGCCTTCTGCTGGTCTGCCAGCAGCTCCGGTGGAGGTGGAGGCAGGGCCATGTCGTCCATGGTGGCCGTGGGCTCTGTTCTGGACATCCGTGCAGAGGAGAGGGAGCCGTGCCGGGTGATGGATTTCCGCTGCAGCGTCCGGTTGAGGTCTGCCAGGAATCCCGGCTGAACGCTAAGGCTGGACTTGGGTGAAGTGGGCACCTGAGGGGCAGCTGATCCCGGTGGCTCTGCAACCTCCGCCTGCGTCAGTCGAGTGCTGTCATTCCGCTTGGGGCGTGTGGGTGGTGGGGCCTTTTTCATGGGTGCTTTTGACCATGTCTGAGGCTGGGGATTGACAACGGCGACTTTTGGGGAGGTGCTGCCTGAAAACACAGATGGGATCTCCACCGGAGGCAGAGGAAGATCTATTTCAGGTGGTGGCGGTGGAAAGTCTGAATCAGATGGTGGTGAAGGGAATTCAACCACAGGTTCCTTCTCAGACACACTCGGAACAGGAGCCTTGGCTGGGATCCCTCCTTGTGGAAGGACAATGGGCAGGCCCACCCCAGAAAGGTTGAGCTTTCCTGGCTTTGGAGGGGCTGCAGGAGGCAATGATTCCTTGGAAGGAGACCCTGACGGGTCTGGTGGGTGTGCAAATTTGCTGACAAGGCGGTCCACTGAAGGTCTCTTGGACTCATGGTACTCAGTGGAGCTGGTGGACTTGATGCTGGAGTTTCGCTGAGGTGTTGGAGGTGGTTTCTTCCCTCCAGGGCTTGATGTCTTGCTGGTCTTTTTGACTGGAGACCCTGATCTGTCGGGGGGGGGAGAACCTGCAGAGGAAGCTGGGGAAGGAGGTGGAGGAGGAAACACTAAACTACTCTCTGGTGGAGGAGGGGGGAAATCTGGTGAGGGAGCGGAAACAGGCTGCCATTTGGGCTTTGCCTTCACTGCTGGAGGTGACTGCGGAGCCACGCTCAGTGGAAGGGGTTTTAGAGGCTGGGGCTCGGTGGCAGGTGGGGTGGGAGGAGGTGGGAACTGGCTAACTATCTGTTTCACCACAGATGGCACTGGGGACTGAGGGGATGGAGGAGGCTTCATAGAGAAGCTCTGCTGCTTTGGGAACATAGGGGGAGGAGTAGGGCCAGGAGGGGCTGGGGGCAGTGGTGGCACCTGGGGAGAGGTGACACTTGGTTGTTTCTTTATTGCAAGGGGCAAGGGAGCTGGCACAGGGGGGGTGACATGTGCGACCCCTGGTGACGCTGCTTTCCCACTAGGCTGCGGGGGGAGAGCTGCCATGACAGGCTTTGGGGGTGCCTGGGGTGGTGGCGGGGCAGGCACAGGCGGTGGCGGCGGTGGCAGTGAGGAGGTGGCAGCGGCCTGGCTTACGCTTGGTTGAACCTGATGTATTTTGGGGGGTGGCGGTGGTGGTGTGAACTGTGGCACAGAGGGGGCGCAAGGTGCCGGCTTCAGCTGCGCCATGGCGGAGCCCGGAGTGGGAGGCGGTGGTGGAGGCGGAGGGGGCGGCATGACCCCGTTGGGGGGCACAGGGTTGTGAGGCTTCCCCGCGGGCAGGGGGCCCTGCAGTGCCGCGGGAGGCCTGGCGAAGGGCCCGCCGTGCTGGGCGGCGTTCTGCAGCCTCGTGATGGTGCTGTACTTGACAAACATGGTGGCGGCAGAGCCTGCCGACGGGGCCGCCTGGCTGGGCAGGGGGGGTGGCGGTGGAGGGGGGGGCGGGGGGGGAGGAGGAGGAGGGGGAGGCGGCGGGGGCAGCGGGGGGGACGGCTGCGAGGCTGTGTAGGGGGTCACCACTTTAGTCTGTGGGGACACAGGGGGTGCAGCAGACATGATGGGCCGGCCTGCGGGCTCCGTTCGGGCCTGTCGGGAAGGGGTTTTTAGTGGAAAGGGAGAAAAAGAAACAGAGAGGGAGGGAGGGAAGGAGACAAAGAGATTATAAAGTCAAGGTTTAAATGTGCCTGTCATTAAAAATTAAGTGGCAGATTACAGCATGCAGGAAGTATTAGCAACACAATGCAGCAAGAGACCTCCACGCACTGACAAGCCTGGAGCATGCAGTCTGACCGGGCAGGCAGGGGGGGGAAGCCGGCAAAAGAATCTGTGGAACCAGGTTCAAGCTAGGCTGAATGTCAGCGAGGAGACACACCAGCCTTGTCGCTTCTGTGGGCAGGCAGCTGTAGCCGGTGGGCATCTGTAATGACCCAACAGAGCACTGCCCAGAGTGCCGCGGGCCATGACGGAGGACATCAGGCAGAGCATGAGACCGCAGGCATCTACTCAGCTCACTAAGGCTGGCGTTAAACCATACATGGACGGCCTCCGGGGGCACCTGTCAAGCCTTTAGGTGGTTAGCTCAGGCCTGACACTGCTCGGTGTTAACGAAAGGCAGAAATCCTCAACCGCTCTAACACACATGAGGAGCAAGCTCTACACAGGAATACTACAGAGAATCCTTCTGCTCCACATGCTCCAGTATCTGAGACTGGCAAGGAAAATAATAGGAAAGAGAGGGACAACTGAGGTTTCCTGGGAAAATTTCACCAGAAGGAAATGTTTAAAGATCTGCAAAAGAAAGTTAGCTTAGGGAAGAAAAGCTACACGTGCAAATACTACAGTAAGAGAAAATGAAAGAAAAGATGGGGAAAAGCTTACTAAGGGAAAGAGCAATGGGAAAGCAGCAGGCAATGTTTAGTCTACTCATTGGGTTTTGCTCAAGTTAAATTGTTTCTCTAGAATTGCAAACCTAGAGTCCTATTAAAAATCAAAGAGATAATGGCATTACTCAAGCTTAAAAACATCCTCCTAATACAAAGTGGTTTGGCTGCAAGCCATGTTGTGAATTTCACAGTGCACAGCATAGAAACATGCATTAGAAATGCAACACCAACATGGCAGCTGACTGCACAGGGTACTTATAATTCATCAGAAGACACTTTGCCACAAGTTAGCCCAATTATGCTCATCTGCACTGTATGAGCAGGTTTGCACATTGCTTTCTTCTAAACACAGGTGCACAAAGTCTCTATGTGCAGAACACCACCAAAAGGATTAGAGTCAGAAACAGCAAACGGTGATATACAACACACATGGGGTGTGCTTCTACCTGTCACATTAGGTCTGGAAGGCAAGAGTATAACAGTTCTGGAGCTAAATCAAGGTGTTCACATAACAAAACAGGAGACAAATCTTGATCTCTTGCAAGTGTTAGTCTGTAAATTACCATTCTCCCAATCACCCAGGTTAATGAAGTTTCAAGTAGCACCACCTGACCTTAAATGTGCCCTGTATAAGGCACCATGGGTGTGCTGAGCTTCACTTTTGACACCTGAGACAGCAAAAGGCAACAGGAAAAATAAAAGCGCATAAAACAGAGAGGGAGCCCAAGGCATAACAGAACAGACATCCCTGAATGAGAAGACCTTGGAGAATCTGGAATTTGTCACTTAAAGCATACACAGTGAGCACACATTTTGACGCCTGTTGTAGCATCCCACTTGAAATAACTTGTTCAAAGTCTGACAAGCAAAAATGAGACATAATGAGATCTTCACTGCCCAACTGCAAAGAATGAACAGATGAATAAAGTATTCTTTGGACAAACAGCGATCTTTCAAAATGTGAATGGACAGATTACCCACATTTTGGGAAGTGTGGATTTTTTCATCTTAGAAATATTTGAAAGAGCGAGGAATTTTCTTCATAACTCATTGTGGACAGTGATTTTCACAGTGAGCAAATTAAACCCTCAGGATAGGGAAAAGAATGTTGTGCATCTCTGGAGGGGGAGACCCTTGCATCTCCACAGGATCAAATCAAATTTCCACAACCAGAAACATATTCAATGATACTCTGTATATTGAACCACCTTGAAAAAGATCATTCTTCTTGTTCTTCCTTATAACTATGTGATGCTCTCCTGTGTATCTTGAAAAATTACTTATTGCATAACTACCATGCACATTTTCATGGCTATCTGGAACTCTCAGAAATGCTGTAAAAAGAAAAGTGTCTGTTTTTAAAAATAACAGCTATGCTTTTTTTTTCTGCTCTTTTTGCTAAGAACACAAGCTCTTGCAGCAGCCTGCCCGTATGAACTTCTTAAGCCAGCTTTGTCAGCAAAGCACTGTGGAGTCAATAACTCTGAAATAACTGCTTGGACACTAATCTGCCTAACGCAGCATGTCTCAGTACAACTACTTTTTAATGTAAATCACAATTTTTTTCCACACTGTTTTCTTTCTTGCCACGCAGGCTCACATTTCCCACTGCCAGTCTGATTTATTTGCTATTTAAGTTCCTTGGGCCTGGCCTGTACAGGATAAAAAAGCATGTACCGTGGTTTCACTAAAGATAATTTTGTCACCAATTTACTCAGAATTTCTTAACATGGCTTTGAATTGTAATTTTACACAGGTCATTTCATCTGGATTCTTTGGAGGTGTCAGGGCAATCCATTCATCTGTTCTGCACAAAGAAACGGACCTTTTTTGGGGGTTGTGCATAGAAAGGAATTCAGATGAATGAAATCTTGACGCATGATGGCCCTCAGCAGGGAGCAGTGTGAATACTTCATTTTAAAAATGGCTTTAATCAGATAACAGAAAAATTCCTGCAGTTTATTTAAATGAGCAGTTGCCAGCAGCACTATGGACTTGGTAAGAACAACAGTGAGTGGCAAACTGTAAACTCTTCCCTAAAAGCTCCCAGAGGATGTAGCAGCAGGATTTTCATACAGAACCCAAAACTTTAGAAAACAGTAACATTCTCACAGCAGCTCTCTTTCCCCTCTGTTGGGTACATGCCAAAACACACTCAAGTGCCCCATCTTTTGCATCTAACCCACTCCTGCAGAAATGATGCACGCTGTACACATACAAGCAGCCACCTGGTGATGAACATGCACCAGGTGTTGTGCTCATGCAGTAGAAAATTTGGATCACCATTTTGCAAGCTCCATTCCTGGGCCAAGGACTACATTACTATTAGAATCAGACAATTTCCAAGCCAGCAGGCAATGCAGAAAAGTTACCAGTTCCAAAGATGCAGCCAGGTCAGTTTTCACATTGTGCCACATGTGCTTTCTTATTTAAAAATCTGATGTTCTGTCTTATTTTTAACTACTTATCTGGTTCACCCATGGTTTCAGTTTTAAAAAGCTTGCTTCTCTAGCTTGAACCTGGGGTCTGGGGAAGGTTCAAAACTGACAGGAGTAAAACCAGCTTCTCATAGCATCCTGACAATGTACTTGCACTCAAAACTGCTGCAGTTAATACTGACATCATGGCTGTTCAGGAACCTGGAAATTAATTTAACTGCCTGACAACAAACTGATGTAAACGGCAACTGTGCTGTTTGGAAGTATTCCCTAGGAACTACATCAGTCAACTACCACAGAAAGGACAGAAAACTAACCAAACCACAACAGACCTGAGCCTCAGGCTTCAATGGGTTAAAATCTTTTGTAACTCACTACCAGCAACAGGAGATAACAAATCTGCGTCAGTCCACAATTATTGTCAATTTTCCTGCTTTTGCTTTGACCATATATATGTGGTCACCGTTTCCATTTTCACCAAATACAACAGAAAACATTTGAGTTAAAACTACCAGCGTACTTCTTAAATAGATATACCTGCCTTCAACTCTCAGTTATTCACATCTTCACAATGGAAAGATGTGGCTAGTTAACTGGAGAAAGATTTTAGTGAAAGAATTTCATTCAACTTGTTAACAACTGATCCTTTTATTTTGTCTTTATTCAACATTAGTTAATAGGATTCTATGGGATGGGCTGTATCATGCCTTCAAAGAACAGAGGGCTTCTGTGCACACAAATAAAAGCAAGAACAGAAGTTTCCAAGGCTAAATTCCCTGAAACAGTGATTCCTGAAAGAAACAATTATATGGCAGTGTATGTCAATAACAAAGAGTTAAAAAAAGAGAAGAAATCCCACACAAGACAGAGGTAGAAGAGGTATCACTCTGTCCCGTACATTTTGTTGGGTGTTGGTTCTCAAACTAAAGTCTTCTTGTTACCTTGCTGGATTCCTCCAGTTGAGTGCCTCGTTTCCAGGCCTCAGAAAACATGGAGCTGACAATACTTTGGGAACGGACATGTCCGGCTGGCTGGGTGTCAGAAACTCCACTGTCAGACTGATTAGAATGATTTGATTGAGATTCTGTTTAGAAAAAGTTAAGAAACAGTTAGCACATGTTGCTGAATACAAGAGTAAAGTCAGTGTGCTTCTAATGCAACTCTGTGTGACATTTATTGGTCATGCTTGTTAAGTATTTTGTAACTACTGCATAAAGTCTAGTTCACATCCAGGCTGTTGCAGTCCAGAAAACAAAACGAGCAACAGCATCCTGGTACTAACCAAATCTGAAGCTCTACAAAGATGATGGGGTGTCAGATATGCTGTGAAGTGAGAACACACTGCAGTTTTATAGGTTCTGAAACATCCAAGAGCTCCTGCACTTTGGGAAAAGCCCCATTTCATGCAATGCATGCAGCCTACTCTCTTCAGCACCGCTTCCAGCACAACCTGAGAAACAGACACTGGACATAGGCTGACAGCAGTCAAACTATGCTAGGCAAGGCAGTAGTCTGCTTCTGACTGTCCCATTCCTCAAGTGAAGAGAAGGACTAATGAGCATCCTGTAACTAGCAAACACAGATGATGCTCTGTATCCACCAGGTATCTTGAAAAGACAGCAGCAGCCACTGCCAGACTGATTTTCTCCAGCCTGGCAGCTGCTTTCTGTGTAGTCCCAAAGGTAAGAAAGCATCTAGGCATAGGCTGGACTGCAGCTCTGGCAGAACACGCACAGCTGGTAGGCTGTGGCTCAGCTCCCCACAAGAGAAACTTTACCAGAAAAACATCCAGCCTGGATGGAGAAATTATCAGTAACTGAGAAATTACTGCTACACCTAGCAGACTTTGCCACACAGCTGAAAAGACAGAGTACCTTCAGTTAGGCTGAATTTGCTTAGCTCATTCTCACAGGCTACTTTCTCAACCTTTCCAATTCAGTAGCATTACTTCCTGACCTGTATCTGCAATGGACACCACACTTTCATACAACAGCCTGTTTTCAACAATGAAACTTGCCCTGAGGGTTGAGAATAATCTGGCCAAGTATCAGTCAGCTCTGAACACTGAAATGAGACTATATAAACCTTCATCAATTTGTACACTGTTATGGGCTGTGAAAAAAAAAGCCCAGTCCCAGTCCTGCTGAAAGGTAAACGGGAGCTGCCAGCGCACACAGATTGACATAGGAACAGAAACAGTGTTTTCAAAGTTTGTCTCTAAAGAGATTATTTGGATCTTTGCCTTTGGGCAGGGACTATTATTTTCCAATTTTGAATATTCCAGTCAACAAAAGCAGTTTCACAGCTACACACACACACATATTCTGTGTAGCATTAAAACATACATTTGCTTTCTTTTTCTCAAATAGGTGAAGATGGAGGCATCAGGAATTTGAGGAAGTTTCCTCTCAGTGTCAGAAAAAGTCTTTTTTGGAAGCGCACAAGAAAGTACTGTATGTTTCTCAATACACACACCACTGCAACTAATATAAGGGGGCTTTTATATATATATGTGTATATATATATATATATATAAATAAAATGCAAAGTCTGTGTTTTAGACTAAACAGTAAGACTTAGCATAAAAGATTTTGGAGAAACAGTCCACTTCCTGCAACAGTCTCTCCTAAGGTCTCTAGATAGGGGATAATAAAAAAAGGTAATTAAATCTTTCTATTATGAGGCAGATCACATTATTACCTGGCAAACTAGATGAGCTGGAGCCTGACTTGATACTGGAGCTAGACAAGGAAGTCCAGTCATACGCTGATTCTGTTCTCTTCAGTGCTTCCTGATAGTTCATGTATAGTTGCTTCCCATACTACGCAAAATGACAGACAAATTTAACAACTGTACATAGGCTGTGTACCCTTTCAGACTGCTGAGCTCCACCTCTGGTTTCTCTATTCCACCATTCTTTTCCCCCCAGAGAGAAACAACAGGCTCTTTGTTAAGGAGCTGAGGCAACAACATTAATTTTTTATTAGAGAATTGCTGAAAGAAAGAAACAAAACAGTTTGTTTATCCTAGAATAAACCAATGAATAAACCAAGCCAACCTGTGGATTTTAGAAATCAATTCTGCTTTCCAGTTCTCCCATTAGCTTTCTGTTTAAAATCTGTGAGGGAGCTGGCTAAAATCTAGTTATGATGTCTGCTAGAACTCTGTCAAGCGATGGAGGTCCAGCAGAAACAAGAAGGGCCTAATTACTGAATTATTATAACAAGAAAGCCCAACAATTTTGCTAGAGAATGAAACGTAAGAAGATTGCACAATTTACATTCAGGGTAGGTAAACAGAAGTAAGATTTAGTATGTATTCTACTAAGTAACTCTATGTGGTTTCAAACAGATAATGACAACTCATGAGAACAGTGTAAGACTGCCTAGAGGAGGTTACCTTAGCAATGCGGATGCCATTGATCCATTGGTGTAGAGTTCTTACATCATCGCAGCAAAGATACTTGATATACTGGGATTTCTTTTGGATCTGAGGATGCTGCAAAAAATCATTCATCCTCGTCAACATTTTAACAGCTAGGAACGCAAGGAAAGCCATTTATCTGTTGACATCTATAAGGACAAACTTAATGCTGGAAGCTCTTCAACAGTAGTCTGTATTTGAGCCTACTTAAAAATGTTTGACAGCGTTTCAGAAGGTGGCAGTGGGGATAGCTTCACATACAGATTGGCAGTGTGCGCTGATTTCAGGTTTGAAACACTAAGAAAAGGTGAATCAGTATTTTAGTGCTGTAACTTCTCTCTACTAAAAGTCTTTCGTACCTGTACGGCTCTTCAGAAATCATTATACTCTCAAGCACAGTGGTCAGAATAGTATCAGCTTGTAAAAACCTTTCCTAAACACAAGCAAGGTGCTGCCAAAGCACAAAGAGTTGTTTCCTTTCACTGCTCTATGGATTAACTCACCACCTGAAAGAGACAACTGACATTTCCCCTGGTTTACTCTGCGTGGTCAGCAAGTCTGATAAAGTAATTCAGTCTTAACCTGTCCAAATGATGGGGATAGAAAGTGACATGTCAGCAGAAGAAATCAATTTAATTCAAGAATTTATAAATACCTACAAACACTGACATTTCTTCTTTTAATAATAACCATGCCAATGACCTATGAGAACATGGGAAATATTTCCAGTTTCAGCTGCATGCCTTCTCCCGTATTTGATATTCAGTGTCTACCTCTCAGGGGGCCCAACTGCAATTGGAAGATGAAATCAATTTTTCACACAGTGGACAGGCAGCCACACACTCCAGGCACATAAAGCATTTTAAGGTACTGACATAACTCCATGAACTGCAGATCAGGGAAGGTAAGAGGTCAAATGAAAACTGTAAGTTCAACTATAACAATCTCATGTTACTCACACCATTTCCAAATCAATTTTCAAATGCTACTTGCTGTGAACATACTGTGAAAACCTGTTTTAAAATAGCTTTGCCACTATCTATCCTGCAGGAGCTGACATAATTTTGAACACTGTGTGGGAGTCAAGAGAGACTGGAAGATGAGTTGATGCAATTTACAATGATTTGAAGTACTGAAGTTATCTATTTCACAGGTTAAGATCAGGTTGCTGCTGTTTATATTTCACATTTTTCTACTTTTCTTTCTACCTGTCCTTTATACTCAGAAGTTTCTTCCTTTAATGCAACCCCTTTCCCCCAGATTGGGCAATACAGGCAGACCTGAGACTCCAATACCAATTTTTGCACACTTCTGGACCTACACTTTTAGAAGACAGCAACTCCCTGAAGTTAGTGTTTTGAGGGGTATTATCTCGCTGAATCTGAATGGTTTTAAGGTATAGAGTAGCTGAATGGAAGAAGAGTCATGTTCTGATTTACAGTATGCTGAACAATTAAATACACTAGGACTTAGTCTGGAAGTAAGACAATCGAGGGCAATATGAAAATCAAAGTCACAAGGAGCATGGAGAACAGGCAACAATTGTTCACCAAGTGTTTGTTTCCTATACAAGAACTACAGGAAAATGAAGTGGAAAGCAACTGATGGTTCAGAACAAATAAGAAAGCATGCAAGGTTTACCCAACTGCTGCAGCATTCTGCAAGTTTCTTGGAATCCAAAAAGAAACAGGGCATACTCAAAGAGTAAGAATGCACCTGGGGCTATTACACAGCCAATACCCAGTGTCTGGCTACCTACATTTCCAAAGGGTAAAAAAGTATTCTGTGAAAGTATCTCTGTCCTGGACTTCTAATTTTTCCCTAAGCAGCTTATAAAGAAAGGACAGTGTCAGAGAAACCTAGAGTGTTATAAATGAATCTAGAAAAGCCATTCTTCCGTGTCTCTCAGTGATCTATCTTCCTCCCCTACCACATAATCCACATGGATCTTCTGGCAGGTGGAAGAGATCTATCAGCTTGATGAGGAAGAAAGTGATTCATATGTATTTCTTCCTTCTGCACTAGTCCCCACATGGCATTTTCTCATTCTCTTACTGTATTTCCACCAAGGAGGCTCATTACAACTCCACAGAAAATGTAGTTAAACATAGCTTTCCCACTGTCATTGCAACTAACAGCAGTTTAGAGTTCCCATTTACCGAATGAAGTTTCACCCTGAAAACTGACAGACATAGTTTTCCAATTGTTGTATTACTATGGGAAGTCTATTCTAAATTACAGTCTCTCCAAAGATTAATACTGTGCTAATCAGCTGTTGCTCACAATTGGGAAGGATAGTTATTTTAAGGGACTAAGATTAGCATGGAAATGTTTCAAGCTCTTTATATGCTCTTTTCAGCGTGAGAATTTCCAAAACAATCACAAGTTACCTTGAGCACTAAACAATAGTCCGTGGGTGCTTTGTATTTGTTCCGATAGTCCTGTCCATAGTAAACACTGACATGATCAAGCTGTAGAAAGCACACAAGATCCCGCGAGACCTATTAAATACAAACATAATAATGTACAAAATACAAGGAAACCACATGCACTGACAGAATCAAAATACTAATAAAACATCTAGTTAAGGTTAAATATTAGGTTCAATCTGATCCAAAAACTACCATTAAGGAGACACAGCCATGCATAAACTCCTGCATCAGTCATCAATTTTTAACTGGATATTATTTTCCAAATTCAGTCTGGGTTGGGTTTTTTTGTGTTTTTCTGCATTTTGCCTTTTGACAGCATCTTACACCGGCCTGCTAATGTTGATTCAGAGTTGGTATCAGGAGAAAGTAAATAGGATTGTTTGCCTGGGAACTTTTCAACAGTTGTTGGCTATATTTCACCTTAGTTAATAATCAAGGTGTTCAAATTCCAATGGAAATGCGAGAAAAACTCTAATGATGTTTGGCAGTGATTGTAGGGCACAGAATTCCAATAGGTGATCTTGCATATAGATTGTTGTAACAAAGAAAAAGGCTGTGTAAGGAACATGAAAACATCTGAGATGTTTTCAGTGTGAAAGCTGATGCACTGACAGAAATTTCCTCATTGTCAGCTGTGTGGGAAGTGGACCTCCCATACTGGGGATCAGTGCATGCTGTCAAGTCTGATGGATTCATGGTCAAATTCAACTCACAGTGGTTCAGCCTTGAAACTATAATGCATTTGTAGCAGTTTTCTATTTACTTTTTATTATTGATACACACAGAACAGCAGTAAGTGACAATGAAGCAATGGTATTATATTTGCCAGTTTCAAAAAGCATAGCACAAATTGGTCCAGAAAGAATCCCATTTATATGAACTAACTAAAGACCATGGAATTATGCAGACTGTGGAGTAGGTCTGATATTTTATGATTGGCATTTGCAATGAAATCTGGTCCTTTATCTGAATTCTGCTTGAGATAACACAGCCTCTCAACTGCACCAATTATTTTTCCTTAAGTGTTTCTGAACAACTACCCTGAGCTCGTTTAAAAAGCAGACCCTTGTGTTCTTGCATTTTTAAACTTGGGGTTTAGCCCATCAAGTGCCACAACAGTAATTTACACAGCATTTCCATGATAAAGCTGCACTTTTAATTAAGGAATGTGGCACTAGGCAAGGCACAGCTAAGCCTACATTTTAAGGCTGACTCTTGTGACCACAATTTACCAGCAATAAAAAAATCCAGGGAAGCTGCTCTAAAGTATCATAAGTAAAAGCATACCTTTGCTTTCCCTTTAGGGACATAGTAGATTCCAGAAGCTCGAAGAAGAAAGTAACGTTTCTTCCAAGACTTCTTACCATCTTCTTTCAGCCACAAAACTCCCTCAATCTCTGGCACAGTTACAGAACTTCCACAGAAACATTCCTACCAATAAACACAATGTATTGGGAAAAGAGAAACAGACAGAACGTACAACATGCAGTGGTTTGTTTTTAATGACTGAAATTCTGAAATTCTTTATTTAAGGAATGCAGGCATAATAGGGACAGCTCTTTTTTTTCACACAGTGATATGAATTAGAGATTAACTGTGAAGCTACAAGGTAATTCAGACAAACACAATAGGGGCTCTTAGCAGCTACTGTAAAGATTTTCTAACCACTGCTTTTTGGTAATAGAGCTCCTAACAGCTTTATTTGCTGTAAAGTTATGAGGTCACCTTGTAGATATCTCCTCCTAAGTCTAAATCTACACACAGCCTAATTCAGTATCGATCAGATACAGCTATAATTTATTCCACAAGTACTTTGTTGCTACTAACTGCCAACACCACAACTTCTGTTAAGGTTCTACTTATGAAGAGTGAACAGAGGAAAACAAATGCTTTAAATACTCTCCAGATTAATATGCAACACAAATACTAATGAGTAATCCTGGAAGACAAAAAGAATTAGATAGAATTACAACCTCTTCATGTCATGGATTCAATTTCCATCTTTCTGATCCACCGTATTCACATGACCACTTCTTAAAACCTGTATTAATAATACACTAAGAGCATGCATATGCTACTTATAAGTTAAATTTTATTAAATATAACCCCAAATTAAATACCCCAAACAGTCACTTTTGTCTAAGTACTGAAATCATAACCATTATTCTGGAAATCATATGGAAGTTATGACACTTCAGCACGAGTAGGTCTCTACAAAACTATCTCAAAACCATTCAGTTTTCAGCTTATGAAGGCTATATTCACTGTTTGCTCCACATATTTTTCTTGTTGTCTTTAGTGTTACAAACTATTTGACCTGTTTGATACTGACTTCCTTTGCTGTCACATATTTTAAAAATTGAGTATTTGGTTGTTTATTTTAAAATGTAACTGAAACAAATTTTAACTACTTTGCTTACTAATAAAATTTAAAATATTAACACAGGTCACTCATGAACCGATGCACAGAATTTTGTAGAGAGTAACAATTTGGAGAGTGCTAGGAAAAAAAAAAATATCTACCACTGCAGGTAAAAAAACCCCAGATGACAGTTGTGCAAATTTCCACTGGTTTTAGCCATAGTTACAGGTAACCTCATTTCGATTATCACTGTGTATGGTTTTTTGTTATTAAACAAAATATTATCATACCTGAAAAAGGCCAACATTAAAATAGTCATTATCTCAGATGTAAAACATTTCATTCATAGTTGTGGCAGAATTACAGTCAGCTCCACCCACCAATTTCAATCACCACAACCATTATGTCCTTTTTGTTTTGGCAGCCTTACCTCTAGCAGCACCTCCTTATTTCTGTCTGCCATCTCAGAGGTTTCTTTCTTCCCCAGAAGATAGTTCTGTAACAAGAGAAAGCTTAATATTTCTATAGGCATTCTGAAATCAAGCCAAGTAACATTTCTCACTTACCTTTCTGTAGCAGGAAAGAAAAAACCCAGAGCTGTCATCTAAAACCAATACATTAATTGAACAAAAACTCCACAGTCCACTTGAAACTATCTGTCAGACGGCTAAATAATACATGGAACTAAGTTATAAACACCTTTTCCAAAAATATCAATCGGCCCATACTCTTACCATAGCTAACAGCCTCAGAGCAACACTGTCCTGGCTTTTCACAAAACAGCTGCCTAGTACAATGCATCCAGAAATTACTATGGACTTGAAAAATCTCACAATAAAAATATTAACAAAGCCAGAAATCTTTAAGCTTGTTACATACTGCCATTATTTACTTGTTCAAAGAAGCACACATAGAGGCAATGTACTTCTTTCCACCTTGCCCTGGCAATTTTGCTGAATAAAACTATTGATTTTTCATTCAGAATTACTAAATACTCCTTTCCTTCTTAAAAGAAGGCTATCTGCAGGTCCTGTAACTTATTAATAAGGTTTGTACTCCTCTTCAGCTTGGCAAGTACTTGGACAATTAAAATCTTCCTCTTCCTAACCTGTAGCTGGAAAAGAATAATACTCACACATAGTTTAGCCAACAGTTCAATATTTTAAACTAAGATGAAATATCTGGTCTATGCTGGTGCGTCATTCTTGTTGACTGTGTCTACTGCATGTACTGACAGTAAACGTATCAACTACATGCTTCTAAGAACTCAGTTTTGCTGCATCACCACTAAGCACCTCAGTAAGACCTGGCTTTCAATCTTTGAAGGGAAAAAAAAAAACAACAAACAAAAACCCCGTGTACACTGATGATGCCCCAAAGGATGAGCATGTAAAACCAATAGACAGTTTGAATCCAAGAAATTACCACACAGATGCCATACAGATATAAAAATAATCTATGACCCCCAAAAGGGATACATTGGATAAGAGTTAAGAGAGAGATCAAGTGATAATGTATCTAGTTATTTTCAATTCAAATTCTTCAGAAAGCCACCTTCTATTTTTCTTTTTCTTTTCCTTCACCCCCTTACAATACCAAACTGCTGCCAGATATCAAATCTGCAGCTATCATTTCAGAGAAGAGAGGCATCTAACAGAGAAGAGAGATCTTTGGTTTCCCAGCCAAGGAACAGGAAACACAGGTGAGCAGTGGCAGATCCCAGCTTTCACAGAGATAGACACATGCTTTCTTCTCTTCACTTGCCATTTGACCACAGAGTAGCTATTTCTTATACTTTCGTTTTTGCTTCTTGCCAGCAATGTAAGAATGCGCACTGGAGAGGCATTACTATTGGCAAGATCTGACAACACCTTTCTTGCCTATTCATGTATTTGAACAGCACTAAGCATTGGTGTAAATGCCATGTAACTGCTTGCCTTCATCTCTATTAAAAGTACCCACAAACACATTAGCAAACAGATTGCTTCAGCTCAAGGTTTTCTGACAGGGACTTGATTTTGTGCCAACCACAACGTGGATGTACACGGTACTGAAATGTAAAGTTGCCTGATATTTTAACATATACACAAGTATCAAGATAAAAGTATGAAATGAACGCTATCAAAAAGCAGTAAGAAACTGTAATCAGGCATGCATATACACATCCATTCAACATGAGTGTCAGGCTTACCTGGGGATTCTTGAAAAGTGCGTATTTCTCTATGCGTTCCACGAACATCAGTTTGTTTTGACTATCTCTTGTCCAGTTAAGAAGATTTTCAACTAGATTTTCATGATCTTCAAAGATCCTTTCTGTAGGAATAACAAGAGAGCAAATGCGTTTGAATGTCATATTTTGTTACAGAAACTACTCTGTAGTCATATCTCTGAGACAACGTACACACAGAGAATTCAACGTTACTAAACCAGGGAAGAAGTTTACACTAAGAAACTAAAAGAACTTAACTTTCAGATGTGCCTGGTTTAATTTTACACAAACACTCACTCAACACTCTCAATGCCATCTCTTCAGGCTTATAGTTCCATCAATATATGAAGTGCTTAGATTTTTTTTCACCTGACAAAGCCTACCAGCCCACATGAACACAGCAGACTCAAACGATGACATTTTGAATGCTATGAGCACAAATAAGGAGATTATCTCATTCCATGTACTCTGGTCCACACAATCCCTGAAAGAATTTATTAGGCAGCTTTTCCAGCACAGAATTTGTTTCTACATCCCTAATCAATATCTCACTTGTAAAGTATTAAAAAATAGTAACAGACAATGTCTGAAATGCAAAATACCCATGGCTAGTGGAGGTATTGTAGAGGTAGTGTGAAAACTGACACTATCTCTTACAATCAATCTTGCTGAATAAATCATGTACCAACAATGGCTTCTAAGAACTATAAGCATTGGCTCTCTGTTGAAATAGTTATCACTAGTACAACATACTGAAAATAGACAAAAAAAAAGAAGGAAAAAAAAGGAAAATTTACTCAAATGATAGAGATAGATGTGAAAACCCTTATTCTAAACTAAATAAGGAAGAATAAGTCTTTGGGAAACCACTAGCTCAACTTTCTCCCTCTTTCAATCAGAATTTTCTGATTGAAGGATCAGAATTCTCCTTTCTGCAGTTTATTCTTTCATCACACAGGCCACATAATGGCATTTCTGCAAATTATTTTTTCAGACTCCTCTGGGACCAGTTTGATCTTTCAATTGCATCTGAAAGCAGAAAATGTTTTATTCCCACAATATCAATTGCACTGCGTTTTTACAGAGGGCATATTGCTCTGTTCACATCCAATGAAGACTGAGATGTCAGCTGACATCTCAACATCTGCAGTAATTAAGAATACTAAGAAGAGTGAATGCAACAAATGTAATCTTTACATCTTGATATGACAACATTGAGGTCTCGGCAAGATTCTTTCTAAGCTTTCGAGTTACAACTCACAACTTCATAAAGCTCTATCAGCAACACAGCAATACTGTCTTCCAAGAAAATAAAGAAGGTGTTCTCTAACACAAGAACAGAACATAAAAGCTTCAGAAGACTGGCACAAAAGCTTGTATCTCACAGCAGCTTCATTAGTGAAACTGGGTGGCTTTCAAAACATATCAACTGTTATTACAAGAAGAGCAATAATTGAACTCAAACACAAAATAACTTATTCACTGAGTGTGTAGGTACCTATAGCACATAAACTGCATATAGTGCACTCTTCCTATTATTAAACATACTCTCTAAAATTAAACATTGTAATTTACTGATACTTCACAGACATACCCTGCTCCAACCAAGAAGAATGAAAACAACCCTTGTTCGAACTAAAAGAAACCTTTCAGAGTTGTTTCTGCTACAAACTTGCAGGGTAAAACCAGGCATAGCATTTCATTCTGCATTCTGGAAATAGTATCACAGAGTTCTGCTGAAAGTACATATAAAGCTCCTAGTTAAACCATTAGGTAACAACAGTTGGCCTTCTACTTCAAGTAGATGTACTTACATCAGCCTCCTCAAAAACAAGTTAACCACACACAACTGAAGCAAACCACATAAAATGCAAACAATCAGGAACATGTCTTTCTCTGCAGTTTGCTAGCTTAAAGCTTTCACTGCATTTTATTGAACTGTGCAAGTAATGAGCAATCAACTGACAAGACGACATGGTAAAATATACTGTGAGAGTACATAGGCCCTCTGTGTCTCACTAAAGGATAATACAATAAAGGAGTTCCTTCCTCTTACATAGGCATTGCCAGAAAAAAAGTTTCAAAAGATGAAGCACTGGCAAAATAACAATAGTATATACAATAGTATATAGGTTGAGGGCTTTGTTGTAATAATTTTTTAATCTGTTTTCCAGTATAGAGGATATGAATCAAACAGGCTGCATTTTGGATTGTCTTTAAAAAAAAACAGGTATGTGAAAGCCATTCAAAACTATTTAACAGTTGCCCTTGCCAACAATCACGGAAAGCCATGAAAAAAAATGGAAACTGAATCGTACTCTTTCATTTCCCTTAGGTTTGTCATATTGTAGGTTGAATTTAAAATTCTATAATAGATTATGTTTTTTAGCTTGAAACTCTTTCGATACAGCAGTCAAATTCTGTCATTCCCAGTGTGTCACTGAGCCCACAGAGTAGGGCATGCATATACTTCCAAAATGCCCAACAACAAAAGAGACTTCTTAACCCTGATTTAATTTCAAATCTTAATTCAGTCACACTGTTATTGTCTGAACAAACACCAGTTTATCTTTCCAGTATTTTTTCCTTTATTCTTTCCAGGCTGCAGAGTGAAGGGAAGCTTCTTATGCAAGCAAATCTAGGATGGGAAAGACCCCTAGTTGAGCCTCGAGTTTGGGATCCTGTTACACATTCAAAAATTTTTCAGTGATAGAAACATAAAACTATTGTAGAAGTAATAAAGTTATTTATTCATACTATTCCTATTGGTAAAATGTTACAGAATTACACCTTTGATTCCTATATACCTAATCTGGATTTACACAGAATTTGCAAATTCTGTCTGGTTTCAAAACTGGGCAACTTTTAAGATTTTATTTATTAAAATTTTAAGATGAGCCTAATAAGATGACATTTTTCACATGAAAGAAGATTCAAAGGATACCTTGTCACCTTACATGACCTTTTTTGTGTAACAGTAAGCAAAGTTAACATTCCATTTCATTTGACGTATTTCAGGCATACTGCAATATTCTACTGAATAGAATTCTACTGAAATAGAAAAGGTTTCACCAAAGGAGAGGGGAAATACTATTTTGCATTTTAATTTGAAATCAAGCTATTTGGATTCAGTTCTGGGATTTTGTTAGTTAACGGATAAGTTTCTTAACAGCTCTCTGATGTAATTCTTCTCTTAAACTGGAGATAATTAATAGTTTTTCTACCATTTTTCCTCTTATATTCCATTCAGATGCTATATCCTTTGGCTAAAAGAACAACTTTCATCGTGGTATGTGCAATACAGCACAAAGGAGCTTCAACTGCCCTCAATTTGCCATATTGCCATACTGCCAAATGCATTAAGATGTTTAACAAAAAAAATTTAGACAATTTTTTTAATAAGAGCTATTTGGACCAGTACAAAACACTATTTACAGAGAGGAAGATGCATAGTAAATTTTTTTCCCTTATTTCTTTTTCTTCTGTGAGGAGCCCATCAAAACCAAGAGGCTCAGTAACTCGACATTAGTAAAATTACTCTACCACACATTAGAATTTAGACATGCTTTTAATATGAAAGATCATTCTGAAACAATACTCACGAGATTTATTATATCAATGAACATTTACTACATGAATGAATGGGATGACAAACATTAAGACAAAAAGAATTCAAATCATTCTGAGGATGCAGATATAGACAAGCATTACATCAGTAGGTAAGAATTATAAATGTTTATAATTATTACTTACCCATTTGCAATTCAGAGATGGTTTCTACCAACGACCAGTCTAAACTGTAACCACAATGCGATTTGTCCATCAGATTGTCTAATACTTGTCTCACTGTCTGCCTCTCATCCACCATCATTGTTTTTGAGCTGTCATCAGACATATGGACTCTGATCACCAACTATTCAGCAGAAAATTAGGAAACAAAAAAGAAGGATTAAATTCCCACATTTCAAATAAAAACTGTATCTTTTAAGATCGTTTCTTTTTCTAACATTGTTAAAATACCATAAAATATTAAGTTCAGTTAAAACACTCGCTCAAAATGTAAAAAGCCATAAATGACAGATATTTGTATCACGGACACTTAATAAGATACTGTTGCTCTTCGGTATAAACGAGCAAATATAAAGGTCTTCCCAATATGATGATATCATGATTTAGCTGTCTGTTAAGCAGAAAAAAATTCCCTCATGCCCAAGTGTTTTGTTCTGATTAATAAACTGTCCCTGTGACAATTTTTCTCACATCCCTAGGTGTAACAAACACGCAGTTTTGCACAAGCTTATATAAAATCAGAATTTTTCCTATTTGCAATTCAGCTTTCTGCCTGCTTCCTCCGTATTTTCTAAAAATGCTGATTATGTAAGTAAACAATATACCTACACTAAATTTTCTTTTTCTGGACAGTATGAAGCATTAGCATGAAGAAGTCTGCTTTTAAAACACAGCAGCTTTTCACAGGCACTTTAAAAAGTTCACTGTCAAAACCCCCCCAAAACCAACCTAACCAAAAATCCAAACCAAAACACCTGATCAAAAACCTTAAGACAATGGATTCTTCTTGCTAATCATTATGTTTCCTTTTTTATATCTTGTTCGGCTCTAGAAGCTAAAATATGCTAGTTGGCTTGTTACTTCCCAACTTCCAGCAAGGACAGGTTTTCAGCTTTTGATATGTAAACAGTAAATGTAAAAATTTTAAGCTAGTGAAAAAATCCAAACATAAAATAAGAATGCTAAATTTCAAGGGAACGCTAGATACTTCGAGAGTGCATCATGCATAGATTTCCTCCACTTGGTGACACCTACAGTCTGGAATGCTGGTATTCCATTTAACTGTGGAAAACAGTGCTATGCATAATACGAAGAAAAGGATCTGTAAAGCAAACAGACCCAAATTTTAAATGTGTGGCTGCTTAACATACAATCTCAGGAGGCTGGACTTCCATTTCAGCTCTAGGTGGAGGTTAACAAAGTCTTCTCAATGTGAGCCATCTGCAAAATATGCTATTCCTTAAGAAAAACCTTCTGTTTTATATGGGTTTTTCTACACACAGGAATACGCTAGAATTTTCTTGATTAGGTCCAGTCCAGATTTAGAAACTATATGCTCACACAGTATCAGAACAATACAGTGTTCCTGTTTTATTTAGAGCAACTTAAGAGTAATAGGCACAGATGAGAACAATTTTGCTTGCATTTTCCAGGTAGATCACAGTATCACAGTATGCTAGTCCAATCCCCTTGCCGGAGCACGAACACCTAGATAAGGTTACACAGGAATGTCTCCAGGGAAGGAGACTCCACAACCTCTCTGGGCCGCCTGTTCCAGTGTTCTGTCACCCTCACTGAGAAGAAGTTTCTTCTCAAGTTTAAGTGGAACCTCTTGTGTTCCAGTTTGTACCCATTACCCCTTGCCCTATCATTGTTTGCCACTGAGTAGAGCCTGGCTCCATCCTCGTGACACTCCCCCTTTATATATTTATATACACTAATAAGGTCACCCCTCAGTCTCCTCTTCTCCAAACTATAGAGACCCAGCTCCCTCAGTCTTTCCTCATAAGGGAGATGTTCCACTCCCTTAATCATCTTCGTTGCCCTGCACTGGACTCTCTCCAGCAGCTCCCTGTCCTTCTTGAACTGAGGGGCCCAGAACTGGACACAATATTCCAGATGCGGTCTCACCAGGGCAGAGTAGAGGGGAAGGAGGACCTCTCTCGACCTACTAATCACCCCCCTTCTAATACACCCCAGGATGCCATTGGCCTTCTTGGCCACAAGAGCACAGTGTTGGCTCATGGTCATCCTGTCGTCCACTAGGACCCCCAGGTCCCTCTCCCCTACACTGCTCTCTAACGGGTCGTTTCCCAACCTGTACTGGAACCTGGGGTTGTTCCTGCCCAGATGCAGGACTCTACACTTTCCCTTGTTATATTTCATCAAGTTATTGCCTGCCCAACTCTCCAGCCTGTCCAGGTCTCACTGGATGGCAGCACAACCTTCTGGCGTGTCAGCCACTCCTCCCAGCTTAGTGTCATCAGCAAACTCGCTGATAGTACACTCAATTCCCTCATCTAAATCACTGATGAATATATTAAATAATACCGGTCCCAGTACTGACCCTTGAGGCACTCCACTAGTTACAGGCCTCCAACTAGACTCCGCCCCATAGACTACAACTCTCTGGCTTCTCTCCTTCAGCCAGTTCACAGTCAACTGTGAGTATAAAGATCTTATAAACTAGTATCCATAACTTACCTTTTTCACTTGTGCCTCTTTAATCTTCTCTAATGCAACCCTAATCTTCTCAGCTTTGAGTTTAGCAGCCTGCTCCTCCTAGGGGACACAACACACAGAATTCCAGTGAACACAAACTTCAGTTCAGTTTTGGGGGACTTAATTTTCAGACTACCATGCTTTAAAATATGAACTGAAATGCTGATGCACCCACCCATAAATCCTCACCTATTTCTTAGTAATAACAAAGACTTATTTTTTATGACAAAAACTGTTACTCTATATAGCTAACATTTAGAAATATAACTGCCATTACCTCCAAAAGAACATACTGGAGGTATATATTTCATATTTGCTGTTTCTTGGTTCTTCCATATTATAAGTAGCCTTGTGCATTGCTACCAAAAATTTTAGCACATTTGGACAATACATATTTGACAAGAGTGTACATCTGAGTATCCAACAGATACATCCATGTACAACAGTACATCCAACAGATATTTAATCAACATAAAACATTAATAGCACACAGAGAAGTATCAGAATTTAGCAGCACACAAGTATGGAAAAGAAATCGTACAAGTAAGAGTCCACACTGGGCATTGGTTTGGAAGATTTTAAAGTATTAAATCCATTTGAAGTCAGTAAGTAGCTTGAACACTGCCTTTATCTTTACAAAATGCAGTTTGTATTTTTCCTTGCTTTTATTTTAAGTACACATAAAGCAAATGATTGTTCTTTTATTTGATGCTCTTCTAAGGAATCTATTTTTGTTACAACTGGAAATGTATTGAAAATTCACATAATTTAAATCTATCCTATTTGCTGATGCTAAAGAAATCATATATTGTAAGACAAGCAATACTGGGTTTTAATTTCTGGAGTTTATTGATGTTTTGAAAATGGATTTGAAATGTGCAGCTAAACAAGGAACCACTTTAAGATAGCAGATGCACGTGGCTGTTCATTTTGGCTAATATGCTAAAGCCTCATAGTTATTTAAGAATATCTAGAGCAATAAGCATATTAAATAAATACACAAGCAAGTCCCCTCCAAAATATGTAATCTCCTTGGAAAAGAAAAATCAAGATTTTTCTCAGATCAGAAGTGCACAGCCCATCACAACACCATTCAGCATGCCACAGACATTTAGTTCCACATTCCTTTCTCGTATGAATGTGATTCATGGTTTCTTTACCATGTGTTTAGATGGTTGCTTTTCTTGTAGAAGTCAAGATTCAGCTATTCTGAAATCCACAAAGTTTAAGTTTTCCCCTTCTCAGTGAATTACTAATATTCCTAATAACTGATAAAGGGCATTTTCTATGCTACTTACTGTACTCTTACTTAACAGCTTGTGCTCCCTTCACAGCTGTGACCATACTATGCGCTGTAAAAAACACATGAGCTAAACAGGACAATAGGTTGTCTTGTTAGAAACATAATTCTTTTCAATAAAATGAACCAGAAATAATGTGAGCTTGAAATATTCTCTGGGAACTAAACTATCTAGAAATATAGGTACCTAGAAATATTAGCCTACCGAGAACTAAAGCTTTTATTCACCGTAACAATGGTGTCATATGGCTTAGAAAGGTTAAATGAGATTAGGATTCTATTAAAAACAAACAAACAGTGCCATAACACCTAGAATCATTTCAATGTAAATCACACCTAGAATTCTAAAATATTCTTCCTCTTCCTTAACATTAACCATTTCCATCTATAGAAATAAATTATTACTAAAACTTAAGGCTTTAAATACTTGTAAGTTTCTAGAAGTGATGCTATGCACCTGTGCACTAGGGACTCAGCAACAGCAAAATACTTTATTTTGTCATACATTTAGAGAACCTTAATTTATGGTTTAAAAAAGCTGCTCATTAACCCAACCATAAACCTTTATCGCTGGACAAAGGTTGATAGCACATTTGGTTTTACTCTTCACTAAAGTCAAGTAGCACAGTTTTCCACCCCATTTGACTGCACAACTCTGCAACACAACTATCTGTAGCAAACCCCAGCAGGAGCACTTTACAGCCACAGCACACTGGCAGCAACAAGAGCAAAAAACAGGGAATCAGCTGGGGGTCTCTCATATACCTGCACCAACACAGCCAAAATATCTTTGTTGATCTTGAAGTTTACAGTTCATTTTTTCCTATTTTTTTTAAACAAATAAATACGTGGATAAAAAACGATTTCAAGGATTTACTGTTTCAATGCCGACCTATTACTTTTCACTGCCCACTCAATTTTAATGTGGGTCTAGAGATCAGGATTTCTTGTACTGTACTAGATTATAAAAAAGTTGGTTTAAATTTAAACAAACCCCCAAGAGTATGATTATAGAAATAAATACTGGTTTTAACCAGAAATAAATCATATAAAAGAGGCCTGAATCTGTTTACTGGAAATGCAGAGAAAAAGGGAGAAAGAATTAGAAATTTCTGAAAGCACGCAGTAGTTAAGAATTTTAGGTTACTCAAGTTTTTCTTTATAGTTTGTGCTGAGGCCACTGCTGCATCAGTGCTGATGGAACAATATTTCACTGGAGCAGAAGGAAGAACTATCTACTTAATTTTATAACTTGAGAATTCTTCAAAACTCAGAACAATTTCTTCAATTTCTCTCCTAAGGGCCCAAAATAAACAGCCATCCACATCCCCCCTTCCATCAAAGCCACCCCAAAACCGCTCTCAGACACAAACACAGGCCTTTTCGTCCCCCTACGTGAAACCAAGACAACTTAATGGGAGGAAGCATGTGCAATCCATCAGCTTGCACTAAGCTAAGATTTTTAATTGCACGCAAAGAAACACGGCATGTGGCAAAAATACTTGACTGCAACCGTAAACTATGCCATGCCATAAACTAACAATGCTAGGACATGCAGTCCAATCACATCTAACACTGATACACATGCCTCCCTTGCTAAGTGTTACTTCTCAGCTATAGCAGTCATAGTGCTGCTGCTGCCAGACAATTCAGTTAGGGAGCTGAGCTGGTTGAAGATTAACAAATCAGAAAGATTCAGCAGAATCCACTCCACTGCCTTTATGGTCACGTACATGCTATGGAAAGCATACGTACATTTTACCCACTGTGTAAAAACAGAAAACATAAAGGAGTGGCATTTCTACCTCTGACAGGAGAACGATATTCTCTTTTAGCAGCAATACACATCACTGTAAAATTGCAACATAAATTCCTCACTTAAATGGAACTACTTCAGGAGTATTGTTACACTTATAAAGTCTTGAACTCAGATTATTGTTGGTTATGGAAATCAAAACACCCAATTTAAATAATGCTTGGCAATATACTTATGTTAAGAACTTGTTCATCCAAAATATCCTAACATACTGTGAACTAAAATTTAAGAAGTGCAGCTCTGCAATACAACGGTCATATTAATGACTTTATCTTTGGTTGGTTTTTTTTAATACCAGAAGTCAGTTTTCAGTAATACTGGGATATTAGCAAGAATTATCCCAAAAAAGTCTAAAGTTGAGATTTCCTAAATTTCTCTCCAGTTTCCAGTTAAATGCGCAGTTACAAGATACTCCAGTTGTTTTAACCTTAAATATGCAAGATGCATGCTATGACAGAGCTGCCCTTGCTTTACGCCCCACAATCCTAGGTTGAGGTTCTATTTTTCATTTCATTGTACATTTTCAAAGTGTCATTAATTGATCCCTTTTACAGAGATCACAAGCATAATGTAAAAAAAAGGGGGGGGGGGGAAACTTCTTAAGAAAGGTTACAGCATTTAGGGAAGCTAGTAATTCAATGGGAAGTGGTAAGCTCCAAACTCCACATTTCACTTAATTTAGCAGGTTAACACAGATCACAAGATGCATAAAAGAATTTTCTTTCATGTATAATACTTGAAAATTTTCTCTGAAGTCTTTCTTGGAACACAGATAAGATAACAAAATATGTAAGTAGCATTGACTTCTGAAGGACTAGAAGCAGCTATCCACTTTTTATTTTCCCACCTACAGTCTAGCCTCAGTAGAAAGTCAATCACCTGTTTTGCAAAGGAAACTCCTTTCTGCAGTTTTTACTTAAACAGAGGTTCGTGGTGCCCGCGAACACCATACTGACATCTCAGTTTGTACCTAATCCCCCCAAACGTCAAGATATGTTAACCCCATGTTTAATGTGCATCAGTCTGTACAAAAATCACAATAATGAAGTATTTTCTGTCTGTAATTTTCATTTATATTAAAAAAAAGGAATACTCAAACAAGTGTGTATGTGAGCAGCACAGGAAGGGGAAAGCCAAACGAGTAAATATTAACAGCGGTCTGTATTTCTTGATAAACTCATTAGGACAGGCAGAACACCGCTACACTAAAAAACAATGTGTGGCATTGGTGGCACAGCCTATTTACAAACTGCAAACTTGTGTTTATAATAGTAGTTCATGACCATTGTCAAAACATGATGTTTTATTGTGCGTCTTCTCAAAATAAGCCAGAACCTGTATCTGAGTAAAGAAGAAAGGGAAACAAGACCTTACTTTTTCAAAGCTCACTAAATGTGAGTGTACAGAAGACATTTTTCTGGTAAACCAGAACTGGATCCATCCTCCGTAATGGAGACTCATCCCAGGTTTCCTCCTTCCTTGTCAGTTTAAGATACAGAGCTTGCTATACCTCTGGCACATTGCTGACTTACTTGCCCCATATTGTACTATGTTAATAAATACAATAATGAAGGTAAAGCAGTAGTATTGTTTTGGGGGTCGTGTCTGAGAATTAAGCCATCTGAAGTTTTTAACTATCACAATGACACTACACTCGGGTAGTGCCATATTTTCCCTTTGTTCTACTTCTGTGCAACGTTCACAACCTTTTTGCTACTAGAAGCCTAACTCCAACACATCAGATGGCTTCTGAATGGAAGCTGGAAAGGAGCAGTCACATTCTAAATGTAAGATACACTGGCCCTCATCACAAGTTCTTACATAAGGGATCTCTCTCCCCCCTACCCCCCACGCTGGACAAGGGCCATGAAGACGATGGCTGGAACACCTCTCCTGTGAAGACAGGCTGAAAGAGTTGGGGTTGCTCAGCCCGGAGACGGCTCAGGGGAGACCTGATAGCAGCCTTTCAGTACCTAGAGGAGGCCTTCAGGAAAGCTGTAAACATTTTATGAGGACATGTAGTGATAGGACAAGGAGTAATGGCTTTCAACTGCAGGAGAATAGATTTAATTAGATATTAGGAAGTTCTTCACCACGAGGGTAGTGAGGCACTGGAACAGGTTGCCCAGAGAAGCTGTGGCACTTCCTATCCCTGGAAGTGTTTAAGGCCAGGCTGGATCGCGTCTTGGTGCAATCTGGTCTAGTAGGTGTCCCTGATCATGGCAGGATGTTTGGAACTAGATGATGTTTAAGGTCCCTTCCAACCCAAACCATTCTATGATTCTATGATTGTTAATGAAGATGTTGAAAAGCACTGGACTCAGTACTGACCTCTGGGGTGCACCACTGGTAAATAGCCTAGGCATTGTACCATTCTGAATGTATGCTTCAAGGTGTGTCAGAACAGAATCTTACTCAACAGGGACATTCCCGCTGAAAATTTACTCAAGCTACATGAGACAAAGCTAGTAGCGATGATCAAAAAAACAACCCAAAATGCATTTGCAAAGAATTTTACCGGCTCTTTATCCCTTGAATCCCTCATCTACACTAGCTTATCTTCCTGCTTGCCTCTAAACAGGACTTGCCTTGTAACAGCTCTAGGCCAGGCTTCTTACTGGGGCTACATAAGGCAAACAGTTATAGAAGAGGTACTAGATCTGGGACCAGGAAAAAGCAACAAAGGAGGTGGGGGAGGAGAACCTCAAAAAAACCAACATACACACACACGTACAAAGCCCCAAAACACATACACAAAAAAATTACAACAACAGCAAAACAACCCAAAACACCAAATCCACAAGCTGGGAGGGAGAACAGGCCTTAGAAACCATCGTAAAGAAGTTTGAGTCAAATGACGACTACAGCGCAACAGACAAGCCACTAGGACTCACTGATAAGTTTTAGTTGGACAGAAAGCTCAACCAATAAGCACAGCAGAGTAGAAACACAGATTTGAGAACACAGGCTGTTTGCCTAACAACATAACCACAATACGTTATTGTAATTCATTCCAAGACAAAGCCGACATTAAAACTACATGGGAACATCACAATAATCACAGCAGATTGTTGAATAAAAATTTTATATCATCATTTTCAGCATTGCAAAAAGTCCTAGTACTAACCACCACCATCTTTTTTGTGGTTTCCAGGTGCGGCCATCACAACTTCCTCAAAAACTGACTCTAGGAGACTAGAGTTTTCAGATCATGCTCATATGCTGTGCAGGTTAGAAATCAACTGCTGCATTTTGAAGCTGTATTTAAAAGATATTTCAAATAGATGCTTCATTCAAGAATAAGCACATCTGAATCAGACTGACCTAAGATATATGAAGCCAACTTCTCAACTGATTTATGCAAAGGTCTGAAGTGATTACAGTGTGTAGGAATCTGAATCTACAAACAGAGGGAATCATCATTCATAAGAAGAGTATTTGCCTTTCAGGTTGACAAGAAACAAAGAAAGAAGTACTAGATATTTGAGAAGAGAAGGCATAACACAATTCTTTTTCTCCAGATGCTGACAGGCATGTCTGACGCATTACATCATTAAATCACCAGCATCTGGCATCCTGAATGTAGTTTCAGCTTCACATGCATCATAATGGTAGAAGAAATGGTAACTTCAAAATCCAGCATGTTACATTTCTATTTCTTATTTTCATGTCCTAAACTTGAATATATTTGAGCCCTGAGTAATCCCCCTAAATTACGTGCATGTACTCTATATTTCACAGGCACAAGCTTAATTTTCAGTGTTCATTTGATGGCTTAATTCCAGACCTACGGGGAAACAGGCTTACAGATTTGACATTTTGACATTAAAGATACGTTGCTTTATTTTCAATACTTAATAACTTACTTTACTGATATGGCTTCACTTTTTTGTTTTCAACAAAAGATCTGAATACTATGTAATCAATAACACATATAATTATGTTTAAAAATGAAGAGAGAACCACAACAAAGAGATCATTCCTTGTGCTGAGATCTGCCCTATGCTGCAACAGGAACTGTGTTTGTGCATGGCTCAAATGGAAAAGGAATCTAGTCCATGACTAGAATTTTTACAATTAGTTATAATACCAAAGGACAAAAATGGTATTATCATTTCCCCAAATTGTCTCCAGTCTCAATACAAGAGGCAGACAGATCAAAGAAGGGGAAGAACACAAGAAACAGTAAGAGAGTAAGAAACAGCTGACACACCAGACACACAAGCATAGAGCTGCAGCATGATCCTACAGTTAACTTATCTAACACCTTGCTACAACTGCAAGGAAAAGCCCCATTTTTGGGTAATCCTTCTCTCATATGGGGCTTATCTAATGGTACAGCAAGCTAAAGAGATCTAAGCAGTAAAGTGGATTTCCATTTTATCATTTTACTAAAGATATTTCTCTATGCAGGTCAGAAGAGAACCAGTAAATATCCACACCAGGACTGTGTACTCAGTAGTCAGAAGTAGAGAGCACAGCTGTACTGACACAGTCCTAAGCTGAACTAAGAACAAACATTATCCTCAGAACATCAGCAAGCTCACCAAAAGCATCTGACTCAAGGGGCTACAAAGTCTAATAAGCCAAGCCAAAGATTTATAAATCCCAAATTCAGGAGTCTATTAGAATTTCTGCTATGAGTAGTCCATGGTCATACAATGCAATGGACTTAATTCATGCGTTCTTTTTTTTTAGTTGAAGTTCCATATGGTAACCAACACTCAGCCTGTATATAAATAACCAGAAGGGAGAACATGGAAATACATGGAGATGAAAGAAAATGGTGGTTTATGTTTGTGCCACAGCTGCTGTTAATCTATTTGCAATCAAGCAAGGTCTGCTGGTTTGGTGACTCTGCTTTGTTGGGGATGCAAGGGCAAAAAACTGATGGGGGATGGGGGAAAAGAAGTATGGACTTAAATTTTTAGCAAAACAATCGCAAAAGCAGAAATTCCTTGGGTTTGACTTTTTATGCTCCTCTAGAATACAGCATGAAAATTTGCTGTTAAGATGCATACTGTGTATTTTGAGAAGAATGTTAAGATATTTAAGAAAGAGCAGTAAACTGGGTCTAAACTTTAATTGGAAAATACAGGCTACTTATGAACAGCAAACATTATCCTTATTATTTTGAGGTCACTTTAAGCTTGCCTGCACTTTCTCCTCTAGTCTCTGGTTTAGAAGAATCACCCAAGGGGTGGTTTGCAGTAGGCAGCAACAGACATAATCTGACATCTCAGCTACTAAACATTCAAGGTTTCTTAACGATGTGAAGCTGTATGTTCTTCATCTTAGCTTGCTTTTTCAGCAAGATTTATAGCTTGCTCCATCCCTTCTACTCTAATTTCTGAAGGAAGTACGTATGGAAAATGTAATTCTTAAACTGAACAGTAATTTGTGCACTTAGTACACTACTGATTTCCTTCCTGTAAAGAAAATGAATTTATAATCAGAATTGTACATACCTGGTTCATTAGACCACTACCTTAGTAGCATTTTCTGCCCACATGATATCAAGACAGCATTCAAAACATTAAAAAGTAAATCCCATTACTTACTACAGTTTATATTCAATACAGCAAGTGAACTTATTTTAAGGCTACTACTGCCATTTAACAGTACTGAATACTCCCACATTTTCTACAGTTGTCATCTTTCATTTTTTTTAAACTAGTGAATGGGAATAATAAAAACCTCTAGCTCAGCACACTTCCTTTTCAGCTAAGGCATTTTACCTACTGATGTGGCCATTGAATATTTGCCAAGATTTGAACACTTTGATGAATCTGCAGAAACAAACAATAAAATTAAGCCTTTAAAAGCATGTTGGACAATCAGGAAAATCATGTAAGTAAATGCACAGGTTCCTGGAAAGGGCAGGGGTGGGAGGAGCATAGCACACACCGAAAGCATTCTTTCTACATGGAAATAGTCACATAGAGGTGGAAAGAAGAAGCATCACCTTGGTCAGCAAATGAGAAGGCTTTCCTGCAATGTTTCTCAGAAGGAGGGAGGTTTCCCTGTCCAAATAGGAGTGCTTGTGCAGAAAGAAAAAGAACATAAGTCAAAAGAAGCCAGTATAGTAATTTCATAGTGCCTTGATTACAGAAGATAGAGTTTAAAGAAAAAAACCTACGCCATCACTTTATCCCCCTCCCATAAAAATGTGAACATTCCCAAATATTACGAGCCTAACACACTAGTATAAATGCATTATTTTAATCTTCCCCTGTAGAAAAGGTCACACAATAGAATTAAGAAAACTTTTGCTTACCTGCTACTGGTTTCTTTTCTGCAAGAGACAACTCATTTTTAAAGACATTTAGAACTCTAAGGAAACATGCACTTGCAATGCTTTTCAAAATCCTGTCCAGTCTTCTAAAACAGAACATTCTACTTGTGTTACACAAACATAAAGCCACTAAAAACTGGTCATCCTGGAGAGAAAGAACTGGTTTCACACTTTTTACAGTGGTTGCTGTTTCCATAGTTGAAGAAAAAAAACAACCCAGACATTACCATAATAATAATCTGATTTTTTTTTTTAAAGACTTAAGTCTCCTTCTTTTATACAGTCCAAATTATGTAATCCAAAAAGTTGGGCACAAATCCCGGTATTTCGCTTGGAAGATAAATTAGCAGAAAATATATTTTAATCTGTATAAAAAGGGGAAGCAAAAGCGGTAGCAACCAGTAGAGAAGGACCTCTCAAAAGGCAAAAATCATTTAATGACAGTTAACAGCGATCATCTTCTTCAGGATCTGCTACAGAGGAGCAACAAAACCATCATTCCACATTTGCAGAACCACATAGTCACAAGTCTGCTGAGGAAATTAGACTACAATACTGTGGCACTTAACAGGAGCATTAAGTGTATCTCCTGTGTACCGCTGTACTGCAAATTCGGTCCAATGTGGCTGTATCTGTGTCAGCCTTATTTCTGTCAACTGGCCCAATGCTACAAAGGACAAGCATGACAACTGAGCAGCCTACAATTAGCAGCACAGAATCCCCATTTCTTCTTCAGAGACACAATAAGGTATAGTCTCCTGAAAAAAAATGAAGGGACCATGCCCACGACTTCATGCAAGGCAGTATCAAATAGTTTAGTGAATACAGTTCCTGCAGGGCGAATATACTTGGTGCAACTGCCACATGCTGGGATGAGTAACTACAGATCTCTAGAAGGCTTTAAATGTTACACCTCAAAGATAATGCACAGCATCTGAAGTAAAACCTAAGACTCTACTCAAGCTCCATCTGCTACTTAGCCACTAGCATAGACACAGGTTATGCTACAGACTGAACACAGATTTTGCTGTCTGCAGATTAATTACCATCTATGTCTACATGGTATGTTTTAGAAGCACAGCAGTGCTGCCTAGTAACACCTCAAGCACACAGCAATGAGAGCTTTCTGATGCAGGACCTGGTACAATTAAAAGATTTCATGCATTGTTTACAGTCACACAGAATTCTCAGATTAAACTTCCTACCATATATAACCATATCATTAGGGACTGATGAACTAATACATTCTGCTTTTTCTATATAGACAGGACTTCCAGCATCTTCAATGACACTTAAGAGTGGCTATCATGTAAACAACAGTTCATTTACTCAGCCTGAGGTGATGCTAACACTGCTGGTCAATAATACATCTTAGGTTAACTTGAAGGCAGACTGATCATTTTTTTTATGATTTCTGTTATGTGCCTTTTTACTCTGAGTGGTTTCCTTTCCTAAACAGAAGCTCAAACTTCCACAAAGTCAGTCTAGAATGGTCTCATTACCACATACTACTACTGGCCTTCTGGAATAAATTGGTTGGCTCTGTCCAAAGCTAAAAAAAAAAAAAAAAAAGTAAAAACTCCAAAGATAAGTTCAAACAGTTTTTTTTTAAAGAGCTTCTTGATAGAGTTCTTGTCAGACATCTTGGACTTTAACTAATATGGATCACTTTTCTTTTTGGTGAATGGAGCACTGCAGTAGAAAGAACATTATAATGTACATTTGTAGCCTCTTCCTTAGGGTTTAGCCACTTTCTCCCCTTAGTGCTCCATCAGTCAACAATAATGTCAGTATAAAGAGGGGATACTGATTTTCTCCTTTTCTACTTAAATACTACTTGCTGGAGAACATTTCTTCTAACAGATCAGCTCAAGGTAGGTAGTTTAACCTTCTACCTACCACTGGTCATTTTGGCTATTGCCATCTTGCACCTCCACTAAGGAACTTTAATTCTATCCAGAAATGGGAATGCCATACAGTTCTTACAAAATAATAACCACTGGGGACTTTGCCAATATCACTTTCCAGATCTGCAGCAAAATATAAAAGCAGATAACCACAGGAAAGCTAATCTGGAAATCAAGAATTTAATAGGTGTTTCATAGGAACAGGCATTGGCTAGTAAAATGCGAAACACCTACCTATGTGAATTTGAGCTGGAAACATGTCTAGAAACAGGAAGGCAACACTTCTTCAGGCACCTTTAGTGCATGGCTCCTTCCTACTGCATAACCCATTCTGCAGTATTGCAGATATCCAAAAGTTAGAATGAGCAGAAGTAGCAGAGAAACAGGAAAGGCCAAGTTCTAGGAATTATAGGTTGGCTAAGCAACAACTATGTGCACATAACTTTTTTTAAAACTATTACACCTGCACAAACCATTAGAGATAGAAAAAATTAGATTTCATTTTAGAACAAAAATGTGTTACTCTCTCACAATCCACAGTTTGAAAGCATTTAACCTGTTTCAAAGGGAAGACTTCAACTCAAACATCAAGCTTTGAGGTGAACAGATGCTGCTTTTTAAGACAGTCTCCTAGGAATACTCCATTGTTTAGGAAAAGATAAATATTTTGTTATTTTTTTCTTAAGACTGTACAATCACATTGGACCACACAGAGGATCTAAATAGCCCACTCTTCCTCTCTACTTCTGGACTTCAAATATGTATCAAAGCTCTGACGGTATAAATGCCTTATCCTTCCAAATAAATTAACCTACTTTGCTTCCTTATATTATAACTAAAAATAATACCAAAGAAATTAGGAAACCAAAACGTTTTTAGTCCTAGATAGACATTTCTAGTCTTCCACTATGAAAAGCATCTGCTCTCCTTACATCTGCTCCCATCACAAGAACTCACGCCTTGTCAACAAAGAAACCTCTTCCCCAGTGCAGTTTTAGGTTCATTCAGGATATAAAACCAATTCCAATTCACAAAGTAGTATGCCCCAATCTCTACAAGCCCCCAACACCATGCACTGGTTCTCTCCTGTTGCAGTAAGCTTACTGCTTACACAGTACAAGGCCATCATTTCTCATAATGGGCATTTTCAGTTTAATTTTTTTTAATTGTCTTGCAACTGGAATATTAAAATATCCTTGGAAGGTTTGAAACATCACAGAAGCATCAAAATATGACAAAAGCTTCAGAGAAGGTGAAAACGTGCAGTTCTTCACACTAAGCATGAAGTTCCATGAGAGCTCTGTTCTAACAGTGTTGGAAGACTAATTGCTGCATTCACTGAAATACTCAATGTGGCTTATTATACAAGAATATACACAAAGACAATGACGTGACGCATAATTCATTTACCCGCTTCTTTAAAAGATCACATATTTCTAGGCTAGCACTTAACTAAGGGTGCAGACACAGACAGTATATAACATGGACACAGTCCAAAGCTAGCTGTAATCCTTTACTTCTATACAAGAAGGATTCTAAAATTGTATTTTTAATCTATAGGATAGCTTTTTTTCCTCTCCTTACCATATCATCAAATCATGTAATTTGCATTTCCTCAGAAATTGTGAAGAATCTTTCAGTATAAACTGTGCTGCAAAACTTTAGACCAGTAACCCCGGACAGGTGCTAACACTAACTGTGCTGGAGACTGGACCTCACTATCTTTTCTTCTTTATAACCTTCAGGAGATATACTTCCTTCCCTAAAAAAGGCAAATATGAAGCCTATCATCAGCTATTGAACATGCTTGTGACTTCTTTTTGTTCCAAAATCACTTCTTTTAAAGGACAATTTTTATACAATACATAAAAAGCTATTTAGTTATGGTTTAGTGCTTCCTTTGAACTGTCTTTGAACAGAACAGACTTTGAACTAAGTTTCAGATACTCAGTTTAGTTCAAAGGACCTGGATAGAGAAAAAAAAAAAATAAAAAAATAAAAGTAGAGAAAACTATCAAAACATAGGAAAATAATGTTTTTAACTCATTTTGTACAAGAAGTATAAGCAGACATTGCAATGATGACTGGTTTGGACTATTTTCTAACTTAACTCCCAGCAGCAATTATTCCAAGTCACACTGAAAACTATTGATATTAAAATAATAATTAAAAAAATCCTCAAAATACTAATAGAGATATGCTGATCACAACATTAATGTTCTATAAAATAAAATGTATACCTTTCTCAAGGGATGACAAAAGGGCTGTGCACAATAGCAGACAGTACACAAACATTTTTACATTAAAAAATGGGATACAATTATCAAAATATCAGAACAGAAAAGCATACAAATAAGTCTACTAATGTCTCCATAACAAACTTCAGCTGGTATGAATAATGACAATGCCAAAAACTAGATTTGAGAAAAATTAGCATTTAAAAGTTCTAGATGATGTGAGGTTTTCATGTAGTTCATTCAGGAAAGACCACTAGGTTTAATATTTATGAAATCATAGAATATAACCTTGCTCCAAATTACATTTTGAACTTCAAAGATTTCCTATATCCTTTCTTTGAAGACAGGAATGTAACATCTATTATCTTTGGGCCTAAATACCACAAGTTCATGGACTAGATGTTGAATATTGCATTTCACAGCATTTTCAGAGAACTCAAACAATACTCCTCTTAAATACAAAGTAGCTGCTTATGTCAAAGTTTTGTCAATGCTGAAACATTTTTATACCCATCACCAACCCTACATCTACAAAACATGTTTGCTAAACATGACAGAACAGATGGACTAGCAGAAAAATGAAAATACCTTTCAGACTTTAAGCATATAATTGGCTGCAGTATACTAAGCAAGTAACCCTCAAAAGCTCAAGATTTTCTCCCCTATTATCATTGTCAGATCCTTTATGAAAAGTTCAGTAGATTGTTTTAATTCTTGAAGTTCTGAGGCCTTAGGATGAAAGCCAGTTTCAAAAAACCAAAGGAACCTAAAATGTTTTCTAAGTTAACACTGAATTATTAGGCACATCAGCGTTATTTTTTGCAGACAGTAACTGATGGGTGCACTTTTAAGAAAATCCTTTTAGAAAAGATGATAAACTAGGTTCTAGTTCTAGGTTCTGAAGAATGTAGGCACTGCAACCCCCCTTGCAACTGTAGCAAGCCATCAGTTCACAGCTAACATGCTATATATACACATCACCTCATTGCTTCATTTTTTCAATTCTATTTGCACATTTTTGCAAAACCTTGACAATTACATATGTTCATATTGAACACCGATCCATTTTCTTGTTACACACCTAATTATCCATTAGTACAGAAGTCTAGAAAGATTCAATGTCACTGCTAAGAGACTAATTTTAAGGTAAAGGCTCAGAATATACATACAGGGTTTAAAACAGTACAATACTATATTAAAGGTGCCAAATATATTCTTTACACTGCCCATTTACAAATAACGAACAAAAACTGGGTGGGAAGTGTAAGAAAAAGATGACCTGGCCATGTTCTAAGGTATTACATCTTATTGTTCTATGTTAAACATGTTACATAAAAAAAACTTTCTTTTTAATTAAATATTATCTGTAGGTTCAAAGACATCATTTACCCAAGGTACATACAACAGAATAATTTACCTCAGCTCACCAAAAAACTCTCCTGAAAAACAATGACAAGACACTGTGAACTTGCATACATAAGTATCTTGCCACATTTCTTGCAAAACTCTCAACGATTAAACATTATTACACACATCTAATTAAACCAGCTGGTGGCACTCTTGTACCATTAATCTGGATTTAATATGAAAACTAGTCGAGAAACACTACAAACATCTTTTTTAAAAGCCCCCTACTACCCCTAAGAAACTAACTAAAATGAGGGAAACTGAGGAAACAGTGTTCAATAGACAGCTGTATGCTTGCAAACTCTGTTGAAAAGATAACTACTTTCATTTCAACTATATCAGTACATCGAATTCTTTAGACACCAGCTTAAAGAATTAGAACTATTTTCAAAAGACACCATGAGAATTAAAAAATATAATTTTTTCTTTGTAACTTTTTCCAAAGGGAGACAAATCGGGAAAGGAGAACTGATATTTTCTTTGCTAACTCTGAGATTATCTATTCATATAGTAAATATAAAAGCAAGCAATATGAAGTGATGAACATCTAATAAAAAAATATCAATTTTCTGCTTTCTTTTGCAATCGGGGTTGTTTTGTCTGAAGAAAAGGAGGCTCAGGGGTGATCTCATCACTCTCTACAACTACCTGAAAGGAGGCTGCAGTGAGGTTGGTTCCATCTCTTCTCCCAAGTAAGAAGTGATAGGATAAGAGGAAATGGCCTCAAGTTACGCCAGGAGAGGTTTAGACTGGATATTCGGAAAAAACTGTTTACTGAAAAGGCTTTCAGGCACTGGAACAGGCCACCTACGGAAGTCACCATCCCTGAAGGTATTTAAATTACATGTGGATGTAGCAGTTGGGGATGTGGTTTAGTGATGGACTTGGCAGTGCTAGGTTAACAGTTGGATTCAATCTTAAAGGTCTTTTCCAATCTCAGCGAACCTATGAGTCTGTTCTATGGTACTGTGACAGCCAAAAGCAATCATGCTTCATAAAAAAAAAGTGTATTTTAAGTAGTCTTGCCCAATTGACAGTCAATGATCAACTTAAGAAGTTTAATTATATACATGGTTACCTTACTGCACTGTTGGGATACTAACAAATTAAACTAATGTGATTTTTTGTTGCAGACACATTGACATAACTGTTGACATTAACAGAAGCCATATAAACATGTTGTAACAACTTACAGGAGTCAGTTCAGCTTCCTCTTCTGGAAAGTTTATGGGATGCTTGGATGATTGATGGAATGTCCCACAGAAACAGTAAAAATGTAGGAAAATTGGAAAGGAAGGATGCAAAAGGGGAAGAGAGGAAAGGGACAGAGGAGAAAGAAAGGCTTTATTACCACTCAGAAGAGGGAAAAAAGAAGCAGCGATGACGATTAAGAAAAGGCAACAAAACTAGATTAAGAAGTTACAGTAACCCCCATCCAAAATTTCTTACAGACAAATGATCAATGACTTGAAGACAAGAAGATATTCAGGCTTTCTTCTACGGGAAGGGAGGAGATAAGATACAAGTATGTTTTCAATCACAGTAAGACGGGAACCAGTCAATAACCCCAGACAAAAGCAGTTGAACAAATCAGAAAATGAACCCAGGTAATATTTTCTTTGCACAGTATCACTTGCTCACTAAGCCAACAACCGAGAGTTAAGTTCTCTAAACACTACAAACAGAAAAAACATACTGTCACTTCACACAAGCTTATTTGCTTCCCATGTCAGTTCTTCCATACATAATATACTCTGGTGACAAAGTACATACAAGAAGAATGTCCATCTAGTAGAGATTTAACTTATTTCCAGTTTGTCATACTGTTTTCGATCTCTGAGTGCTCCCATACTCCATTTAAAAAGAAATGAAGTATTTCTGTATTTCCATAATCTTCAGTAAGGGAAGGGCTGGGACACAACAACAAAACCCATAAAGCAAAAAGAAAAACCCCACCACATTTGTGGCTCAGGACAAAATGCCCATGGTAGTGACAACTTTCCTAGTATGAAGTTAAGGGTTCAAAAATTGAATATTATGCTACTAAAAAGCAGAGTACCCAAGATTTCTAGTGTGTCATCCAATGTTTGCTCCTTTTCCTTCTAAGGTACAGAAGTATTTGTTTCAGGCATGTTAATTTTGGTAACTGAATTTCACAGTTAAAGTTCGACAGACGGAAAAGGGGTTACTGTTTATTCTTACCAAAACCTCAGAAAAAGAAAATAGAAACTGAAGCAGCAGCATTAGATAATGGAGCTGCCCAATACTTCAACATACAAGATGTGTTTTCAGCTGCTTAGTGGTCACAGTTTAGCAAAATTCTTATAAGACAGAAATTTGCCATTACGGGTTACTGTTATAGGATTATTACTAATCAGTTACATTAGACAATGTATCTCCAAGAGAGGAAAGGAAGGTGTATGTATTTTTAAAAACCTCTGCATGTCTGACCATTAAATAGACTGCATGTCTGACCATTAAACAGACTACTGGCAGGGGGAGTAGACTTGCTTTGCACTCTCCCATGGGGAGTTACCCAAATATGTCTGGGCATAAGCCTTTAGAATTAAAACTGTAGTCCATAAAGTCTCAGTGAAGACTGGACAATCACAATTACAAAAACTCAGTGATGCATTGTCTCACAAAGCTCTTCAACTGGACTGCACACAACTAACCTTGAACAAAAAGACTGGATAAGTTTGAGAGTGTTTGGGTCCATGTTGGGACATTACAACAGCCTTCTTGAAACTGCAACGCCTGGCTGCTGCAGAGCATACTGGAGCCAGATACGGGAAGTGAGAATCTGGAGCTATTACTCTATGTTCCCAAGTGGCCAACCCTCTTCCTAGAACCCGTGCAACTCTGCAGGCAACTGGAATTTCCTAATACTAAGTGTTCAACTTTGCAACTTAAAAAACACCCAATAAAAAATCCCCAAATAATCATGATTTAAAAAAAAAAAAAAATAATGTATTTTTACAGGAAGTATTTCTTAACTTCTAGGGACACTTAAAACTTCATGCCAGCTCTGACAGCTACAATCTAAACCTATTGAAATTCACTGCAGTTTAAGAAACATGTCTGTGGATGCTTCAAATTAAGGAACTGCTGGACTGTGTGCATGACGTGCACTCTTCTATAGTCCACTGTTCAAGTCCATGCACTTGCCATGTCAAGTTGTGATGATGCTTCTCTGATGAACACAAATCCTGGGATGCAGCAGGACAGAAAGCATTGCAAAAGCTATAGACCATTTCACTTCAAGCTTAGTTTCAGTACTGGTTTTAAGAGATTTAAGACTATGCTGCCACAAGAAAGAGGCAGTCCTGACCTTCCCCCAGCCTTGTGCTCTCACATATTTTTTGTGTGAACAGCAGTGACCATGCAGTCCAGTAGAACAGCAAACAACTACTTCAGACGGATTATTTTTCAGGGAGACCACAAGCTAATCCAAATCACTAGGCAGCTGCACAAACACTAGTGCCAACACAAAATGGGGCTAGACTGCCCAATTCAGCACCAGCATGGACCTAAATTAGTATGAACAGGAAAGAGGTTTCAAGCAGTGGAATTTTCCCAAAAGAAAAAAAAAAAACAAATATGAAAAATTAAATAAAATGGAGTATAATTTCACATAAAATGGTTGTCTGATCTATCCAAAGAGATGTATCAAGTAGAAGACTGAAAGAAGGAAAAAAAAACACCCCACCAAACTTCATGTTAACTGTGTTAGTTTGAGAAAGAGTATCAGATACCTCATTGTGTGAAGGGCTCTACCTGAGGCACAGAAAACAAGACATCACAGTAGCTAAGATACCTAAGCAATAAAAGTACACATAGCTTTAATCGGTTTTGTTTGAAGCTGCTGCCTGTTACACCAAGTAGTACCCGTATTAAGTAACATTTGCTTACATGTCTGCTGACTTCTAAACTCTTAATCAGTTCTAAAAAATTACTGTAGACATCAAATGATCCAAAGATCAACCACCAGAAAAGAATGGATATACAGAGCTGGGGAGTTGATGTCACAAACCTATCCTTTTGTTTAAAAGCAGGTAAGGCATACGAAAAAACTCAAACTCGCATTCATAAAGCAAACCATGTCACTGATGTGACTGGTCTAAAATCTTGAACTTTTACAGACATGAGACTACTAAATGTCAAACACAGGCAACTGCAACCAAGGCTGTAAATCTGGTTAACTTAAAATGATGACTTCTCTTTGTATTTGCAGACAAGTTTTATTACACTGTAACAGACTAAACACAAGCCAGCATGCACAAAACAGATACAGCTAAAAGGACAGTTCTCAGCTGTTTCTCCAGAACATAAAGTCTCATTTTTTGGGTCTAAAATCCTTTAGAAACCTGATAAACCCAAGTTTTCATCCTCTAAGTTACAAGTGTATGCAACTGAAGAAAGCTGTGTAAATTCTTTTCTCCTCTTAAGAGTTTAATGTTTCATAATCAGCTGCTGTGTTAATTTGTCATCTGTTACAAATTACATTTTTGGCAACCTGAAGTAAGGACAAACAAGTAAACTGTTGATAATTTCCTACAGATGTAGTATTTCTCTTCCCTAGTCAATTAAATGATACCGAAAAAGTAAAGGAATTTACTTGTCTTGGTTTTAAGTGGACTGGTCTATCTACAAAGAAATTGGCTGCTTTAAAAGCTCCATTAATCAATCACAACTTACAGAGTGATATCTTCACTGGAAACTGCAATCAAAGCATACAACTCTCTGCAGTGCTTCTGACAAAATTTGGTAACATCATAAGGCAAGAATTCTCATTTCTCAACTCAGGCCTAATGGTCTGGTCCAAAACTGCTGCTTCTGAGACATATGCTGCCTAGATTTGCTTGGTCATTGATCTAAGGTATTTTGTCTCTTTCAGATGAATCTAGTAAGAGTTCCAACCTCTGAGCAACCATTTTCTTAGCTTGCCTGTATGAACAATATATTTTTTCCTCAATAAATCCTATTAAATACAAGTGAGATTTAAAGTGTGGTTATTTATACTCGGCACCCAATTCAAACTGTCTTCTACAACTGTCAAAATCTGCAATAGTGACTTCTCTAATCAATGCATGCAAAGAGGTAGGAGGGGAAGCTAAAAACGATAAAAAAGGTCACTGGACTGCAGACAGCTTCCATCAGCAACAGCAGCTGTTCTACTGTTAGCATTACTAATTGTAACAGCACATGTACGCACACACACAGAAGTCTAACAATTTTAAGAGGGTACCAGCTCAGCTGACTCCCACCAACTTACATTCTTTTCTTGTAGTAGACAAAAGTTTATTGCAACTGGAAAGGGAAGGCTGATGAACCTTGAACTATACACCTTCATCTTAAGAAGTCAGAACAGCTAAAGAATAGAAACCATCAAGTGTTTGTATCTCTAAAGGAACACAATGCAATAAGGGCAGCACACCGCAGGCAAACTCTAACATACAGTACAGCTTTGCTGGAGACAACCATCTCACTACTGCCACACGCAAGGGGCTACCAGGAAAGTTTCTGAAGAAGCAATTTTAACTGCAGATAAATACATTTTGAATAGCAGAATTTGACTCGTTCAGCTGTTTGTCTACTGGAGAAGAATCCAACACTACAGAACAGCCAGAAAGAACTGCATTTAAATGTAGACAATGCCTTTAGAGTTCATACATAAGGTAAAAAAATACAGTATAATTTTGTTTTTTGAGTTGATAGCAAGCTTTGCTAGGCAGCTGTGTCAAATAAGACATGTATCACACTGTCCATTTTTCCTGCTCCTTCCGGGGAGGAAACTTTTGAGCTTATTCATCAGTGTGAGGAAGAGCTGACAGGCAATCTCAGAAGATAAATACATTCTTGCATGTTTTATGGCTCCTGCTGTACCTTAGTTAGTGACCTCTTATGTGAAAAAAAAAAATAAAAATCATAGGGTGACTTTTAAATTCACGGCTATGAAATAAGTTGGATACGCTGACTGGAGAAACAAGATTTACCAATACATGGATAATGTTTAGGTTCTCATTTTCCTTTCACTTTTTTTAAATTTATACAAACCAATTTTTAAAACCTACTATGCAATGTATGTGCAGTGAATTAAACTTTTAGAATGTCTCTCTTGAAGCCCAATTCAAAATTCTTACCAGATGAAAAAACCCAAAGAAACAGCAAAAATAACCCACCCTTCCATTCTGTCGTTTGCTTTGCAGATTCCATAAGTATAATGTTGAGGAAG